AGGCCTACTGGCATAGGCCCATGGAAGCCAAGCTCCGCTAGCCCTGCGCGCGCCACCCATGTGGAGCACTCAGCTGCACTTCTAACTACTCGTTTCCTGAAGCCCCATGGATCGACGAAGTGGTCGCGGTTCTGTCGGGCCTCCGCGGGCCATATAAACCCGCATAGGCCTCGACGCCTTTCCTCCTCGCTCCTGCGGCACCGCACTGGGCCCACACTCGTTTCCCGAGCTGAGGCCTATCAGATGGAGCCGGCCTCTCTCAAGACTCTCCCTATCCTGTGACACATGCAACGAATCCGTGTTTCGTGTCCGATAGTGCTTCTCAGTGCTGTGATCCGTTCGTGAAGAGAATCCAGGAAGAACCAGGACGTGGAAGTGGAGAGACGAGGCCAGAGCGCTGAACGAAGCCTCGGCCCGAGCGTAGATTCGTGCTTTGGGGGGCATGGCTGAGTCTCCCCGCGTGGAATTTCCCCGTTCACGTCAACGCTCCGCGTCCAACGACGAGAATTAACCTTTCATTGGGATCACAGGATCAAGACTCATCCCACGGGTGAGGGTTTCCCCGGAAACACGCGTCCGGAATCGTGTTTTTCCACTCTTTCCCTCGTGTCATCACCTGAACACAGCCCGGGCCCTGAGCCGAGCTCCCCCTAACAACCCGCGTCCCATATCGGAGGGTATTCGCCGTAAACCCACGTGATTTGTGCATGCAGGACCGAGGTCGAATTCTGCCCTTTCCCGCCCCCCCGACTGGAATCAGCTGATTGTCAAATGAGTGGTAGCTGGACGATTAAGATGAACGCGTTGCAAGGCGGGCGAGGGGGAGAGCGGTTCGGGGGAGCGACACCCGGTGATGCCAGCCCTTATCTTTCTTTCCCCCTCCCCTCTCTCCTCTCTCCCCTCTATACTTCATAGGCCTAGCCTGGCAGCTGCTGCCTCGCCCCTAACAAAGAGACGGGCAGGGCAGCTCCTCGCTTCGTCTCGCTTCTACCCTCGCCTCTTTCCCTTCCCGTCCAGGGAATCGATACTGCGTCACGCGTTCGGGTCATAACGCCTGCGATTGCCCCCCGTTTTCGCCGTTTTTTAAAGACGCTTCGTTGGCGACTTGGGTATTGAAATTGGAGACAGGGAAAGGGGGCGATGGACCAAGTCGCCTGTCAATTCCCGAGGATTTTTGAGGCTTTCATCCCTTCTGTGGCTCCCCTGAAAATTTGAAGTAATAAGACGGTTTGTGAATGGAATTACAAAGCGGGTCTCTCCTCTCTTCCCCGATCTACGATGAGCGAGTAAAAAAGAGTAACAGGAGTGAGAGATTTTTTTTTTTCCGGGGTCAAGAGGAAACAAGGTCGTCCCCCTCCAGTCTTGGGGTTGACTTTCCCGCCCATTTCTAAGACGAAAGGATTTTTGCAGACGCTTTCTATTCATTTTCGTTCCGTGGATCGAACCCTTATGAAAGTAGATCATGGGATGTAATGACTGGCTTTGAAGGGGGATGAGTCGAGGGTGCTAACGATAGCGAGATAGAAAAGTTAATGATTATGAAATTATTTGATTACTCCGCGACTCAAATGTTACGAACCCAGCTCCTTTTCATTTTACAAAATTGGGCCGAAGGGACTTGAGCGTTTTTGTTACAGTTGACAACCCTTGATTTATACAAGCCGTACTTGACCTGGCGTGTGATACGGACAGTGCTTGTAGATAAAATGAATGGCATTAAGTGACGAATAATTCAAATAAAATTGCTAAGAAAAATGGAAGCGGTTGTTTGCATTGACATCATTAATTTGAGCATATGCTAACATGATTTTTTTTAATTATCAGGCGTTAGCTCGTCATGCATGAAAACATAGTCGTTGCTGTGGATTGACCTAAAAGATTCCGGGATCGTGCTAGGATTCTTGCGTTCAAGAAACACGACGGGGAGAAGCCATGGGACGAGGGGAGGAGGATGTCGATGGCGGGAGGGCTTTCGTAGAGGCTAGGCCTAGGTCTAGAGGAGTCTCTGCTTCTCTCCTCACTACCGTAGTCTCACTCTTCGCTTAGCGCGTTTCTATTGGGTAAGAGTCAACCTCGTTCAATAAATGAGCTCATTTGCAAAAAAAAATCAAGATTAGGATGCTTGCAAATTTGGGTTATTTAAGTTATTTTATGTTAACTTTCGTGTGATATATTTTTGGATTAGTTTATAGCCTGATTAAGCTGATCTGCTTGTACTCAAGCCTTTTCTTAGAAATGCTGACTTGCTGCGGTTGACATCCAGTTGGCTCAGGATATTTTAGCGTTCGCTGGTGCGGACGAGCCCGATCCCGAGCCCCGCTGATGGCGTCGGCGAGCTATGGAATAGTAAAGGGAGGGCATGTGAATACGGCAGGGATGTCGGATCCTGTATGCTCAGCTCCACTTTCTTCTCAGTGGGACTCAGAAAATCATTCGGTTAACGGTAGTTTACTTTTGAAGTTTCGTGTGAGTCTTGTGTCTTCTTGCGTCATGTTTTATACTACTTTATGGTTCAAGGTGTGGTGTATAGTTTCACCAGGAGATCTCAAATCGCTCATGCTGGTGGCCCAGTATGACTGCCCCGTAAAAGTCATTCCAGTCTATTGTGTTGTGGACCCATTTCTCCTCGTTCGATAACTGTTAGTAGGCGTAATCGATTTTCCATCGTACCAGATTGTGAATCCTAAGCCTATTAGAAGGGCGGTGTTCCTGGTTTCGCTAAAGCTTTTTTCTTGTTCTGCTTAGAAGCAACGAAAACTGGAGAAAGAGTAAGATAGGTTTTGGAACAGGGATCTGGCAACCGTGGTTGGCAGAATGATGTTCTGTCAGGCGGACTGCGTAGCGAGGCATTGCCGGCCCCGCAGCGTTGGGGCTCGGGATCTCCCGGCTCACTCTCCCTTCTCCCTTTCTCCCGGATTTCTCTGCCTGTTCCTTGGACGCTCGCTATGCGTAGCCTCTTCGGTCTTCCAAAACCGAAATTTTTAATTCTGACTACATCTCGAAGCGCCCCTAGATCTTAGAAGTTCTCTTTGCAAAAAGGACTCGTCTGAAGGACCAGACGCCATTCCTGCATTACATACATATTTAGATATTAATCCTCAGAAATAGCAGCCCAGTAGTGTCAGTGATCTGCGATAGTTGCTATAATCTATTAATGGGGTGGACTTGAAATTGCAAGCTGCCCTGCAGTTGCAATTGAGAATAAGGGAAACGTCAGGGGAGAGGTTATTGAATGCTTGGTTAGGAAGCCGTTAGATGGCACTGCGTTCCCCACATTGCGATCACCGCTAGATGGCATTGGGGCCCGTCCGCCATTTCGCGATTCTTCTTACTCCGCGCCTAATTTTTAAATATTTTTTAGACTGTCAATGGATCAACTTCAAACAGTTGAATGTAGTATTGCAATGTCGCATTTCGTAAGAATCCGTAGGCCTCTGTCAGTTCTACCCACCACTCATAATCCTCATTGTTGTATAGGGAAAGGTCTCTGACCAAGTGCATATCTCCTGAAGTCAGCCTCCCCTAGTGAAGGTCCAATGGGCAATTTTATGAATATAGGGACTGCATTTTGATTTTTTCAATTTGTGACTTCCCTGCTCGCAGTTTTTTCGATACTGACAATAAAATGCGAAAATATCGGAAAATCAACTCGATATAGACATTTTGCAAGCGCATGAAGCGAAGTTCAGAGAGCGATAAGTCGGTTGGAGGAATGAAAAGCCACGCGGAAAAAGAATGATGAGGTCGTGTAGTACGCGAAGGGGAAGAAAGAAACGAGGCGGAAGCGATAGTAACCTTTTTTATTTTTTTTTTCTTTCTCTTCTCTCTCCCTCGTAACGTACAGACACATACGTCAACGACCCGGTTTCAATCACGTGTGTGTTGTGTTTCCACACCCTTGGCTCTCCACGTCATCCCTTCGCCCTTGAACTAGAAATCTCCCCCATTTATCTCCCAGATTTCCCTTCCTTTTTTTCACTCCTCATCCTTACATATATACGTGTATATATATTCTCTCTCTCCCTCCTTCTTGAACACAATCGTATGTCTGCCTGGCAGGCTGCCAACCTCAATAGAATATTAATAATGCATGGCTTCTCTCCACATGGGGGGATTTCCCTTCTTTTTCCCTCTTTATTTGTTCTCAGTGAATGACCCATCCTCCATTTGTTCCCTCGGCGTTCGTTCAAGGTATTTCTGTCTCATTCCTTGATGAAAACTCTCTGGAAGCGTAAGCAATAGTAGTTGACAGAAGAAAGTTTATTTCCTGGAGTAAGGGATAATGACTTGCTCACGGTAATATATCAAAAAGGTACCTTAGACTATTTTAGGAAATTTCTTCCCCTTCCCCACCCTCATTTAACTATTTAGGTAAAGGTATGTCAGGCCGGAAAGTTAGGATTGGGGAAAATAAAAACTTAAAAACGAATATCAGGAAAACATATTCATGTCAAGAAACTGTTAAAGGTAAATAAAATAGGTCTTTTATTATTAAAACGCCAGTCCATTGCGCGTGAACGGGACGGGTCCCTGGGTTTATTGGCTAAGACGTGTGGTGACGTGTAAATAAATTCAACTCACCTTTAACCCTTTCGACCGTGGCATCTTTCACTGGGAGATACATTCTAAAGTGCATTGAAAATGTGTAGTCGTCAGTGCAGCAAAGACTTGTGGGAAGACAAGTCCTATTAAAAGTACTGTCAATTAGTCCGGGAAATTCCTTCAAGTCGGGAAAGTGCTTCACGTTCCAGCAAATTTTGTCTTGAGTTCAGCGCTACCGTGATAACTACATATTAATATACCATAGAAAAGTTAACTTCTTTCTTGAGAGAAGTCTCCTCACCTCCTTGCCTGTACCATAGATATAAGCATGCTTGCGGTTGAAGACATTAAGGGTTCATCTACAAATCACTTTGAGTTTCTTAGCCATTTAAGTACAGACTGGCTCCACTATGTGACTGAAGATACCAAGGAAACAGTGGTAAAAAAGTTGATAAGGGATGATTGTATGAGAGAACTGCATGCCTCTGGGACATAAGCATTTTTGTGTTGTGTGGTAGGGGACGAGAGGAGAGAGCAGTCGGGCGAGTACTGGAGGAAGCGGTTCTCCAGGTGAAGACACGACGACGGCGACGGTCTCCGTCTCCTCGCCCCCACCCCAGGGGCCCCCTCAGGGCATGAGACCCACCCCTTCCCCCACTGGACCTCTCTCGCCCGCTTTTGGTGAGTCAATTCTTTCCTCCCCGGATGTCCCACACCAAGGAACCCCCCCCCCTCAGAATATGGGACCCTCCCCCTACCTGTCCTTTATTTTCTGCCCCCTTCTCCCCTCGGTTTCATAATATTGACGCACTCAGGGAATTGATGTGGGGCATTATAAGAAAGTGAATAACTGATGTCTCCCCGCTGTGAATAGTGTTTCACTAACACCTGCGTCACAGTCCCTCCTTTTGTGACGAAAATAAGGATGGGCGAGTTCAAATTTTGAAAACTTTGGGTGTTTATCTCTGTTGGGACACCTGTGTTCCTCCGTTCTACATTAAGCATCCTTTCATTTCCTATCTCACTTTAATTTTTCGTACTGAATTACATACGTTACATACATCACGTACGTGTTACATTAACGCCACTGACATCTACCCAAGGAAGATGTCTGTGGCATTAATGTAGTATATTACTTTCTTTGACACACTCGACTTCGGATGAAAGTGACTTGTACTGTATTACAGCATTTATTCTTGCTATCACTGAAATCACTTGAAAATCTGATATCACCTATTTAAGGGTAGCAGGGACATTTTCACATATTAACGTAATTTTTTACGCCAGCTTTAAGAAGTAGCTTCTTTAAGAGTGGACTCAAAACACATGAGTGCATCACATGCTCTTAACTCCAGGGAGAGGGTCAGCTGATGTTTTTGTGTAAACGCTCTCTTAGGTGCAATGCAAAGGTAGAATGGAAGTTTCCATGTCATTTGCAGGAATACCACTAGAAAGAAGACCAGTTTCAAGTTGGCAGAGCTCTGATAACTTGCATTAGCTTGCATTTGTAGCCAGTTACTATTGGTGAGAAGGAATTATACTTGTTATTAATAACTTCTAGGATTGAATAGTTATAATTGTTATTAGTTACTTTTTGCATGGAACATGTCCAACACTGCATATGTGATTGACTTTTGCTGAATGATTTCTCTATCTGTATTTAATTTAATTGAAAGGAAATATTCTTTAAAATAGTTTTCTATATTTAAAAGCAGAATTGCCTGAAAAACAACTCTTCTTCACATGATTGTCAGATGTACTGTAATATTGATACAATTGAAAGAACTGCATAAGCATGTTGAAGTGTGCCAAAATGATACCCATCATCAATATGTCTTATTCCATGTTAGATATTTGTACCTGCTGCATGATAATCATCCTTTTTTAAATTGTGGGTGACACCTTGCATTAACACTTTCTGGACAATGGGACAACATAGCTGTCCCTCCCCTGCCTTCCCTCACTGGGGAAATGGTATGGGATGCATAGCTGTTGCAATTTTCTATTGCCTTAATTGCTATGAATTTTGTACCAGCTGGTAGAGAAGTCTTCATTTTACCAAAAAAGTCCTAAACTTGACTACCATTTGATGAATTGATAGAATTTTCATACAGTATGTGAAAAACTGCTGATCACTACAGCATATTGCACCCAGAAAATGTTGCCTGGAAAGTGGGTAAGAAAAGTCTTGCTGCTGGTATATGTTCAAGAGTCATCAGCCTCTCCTTGCACAATATGTACTCGTGCATGCAAGAAATGCATTTCCAGTGCTTCATACCATTTTATACCATTCCATTTGTATAAAAAGAGCAGAGAGAGAAACATCCTTAAGCAAGGTCTGGTTTCAACATGGTAGTGAAATTGGCAAAACAGAATGGTCTTTGGTGCACCTGTCTTTTGTTGTGCTATCCTTGAAGGTGCATAGGAAGTACATTGTGAACACCTTAAGGGACTAAATTTGGTTTTTAAGACTCCTATTGCATAGAAAATCCACTATGCTATATTTAAAATAATTTGGTCTCATTGAAGACTATGGGAATCATTCAAGTGTGGGGAATCAGTACTGGCTCCATTAAAAGCATGAATAGTTCATGGAAGGAGCTAGAAGATGCCTGTCTTTCACTATGGTTGCAAGACTACTCATAGAAGCCTTTTTCATGGGGTTGAAATATTTGGTTGAGGAAGGTATGTTAAACTTGAACTTCAAGGTGTTTTTATCCTTTTTTGTGGCATCTCCTTCAGAAGTGGGGTGTCTTTAAATTTTCTTCCCCTTATGCTTGTTTTCCTTAAAGGAGTTTTAATAAAAAAAAGAACTCTCTTCGATAAACATGCCCTTGCATTAATGACATAATGTATTGAGGGGTCTTTACAATTGTCCTAGTCCTAATCCTTTTTTTTTTACTAGAAATATTTATTCTGGTCTCACCTTGAGTTAAAAGATTCTTCCAGTGCTCATTTTTTCATCATTTCTCTATTCATTTAACCTATTTAATTAATTTTTTTATGCCTTTGCCACTCTGTAAGATTTGTTATTGAGTCATAACTAGAGGGGCCAAGTATTTATCTCCTTATTTGGAAGTATATTATTCCAAGTGGAGACTGTCTGTTGGATACTTATATGGGTAATGTTCAAGGGTGCAGCCCTAAATCAAGTTTGTAGATTTTTCATCAATAGTGGGGCTAATGTAATAGTGTCTCTACAGTGCAGGTTGAGTGAAATCTAGGTTGTGTGGGTTCACCATTAAAACACTAAGCATAGCTATGCATTGCAGGATGGTGCCATTGTACATGTATGGTATACACATGGGTAATGGGTATGGATGTCATAGCACTTACCAAATCATGACTCTGAAATTGCAATCATTGTATAATTGCAGCACTTACCAACAAACCAATCAATGCCTTGCTTATAGTGTCACCATTCGTCTCCACTTTTCCACCCTATTCCTAGGCACTCCATTCCTCAGGTATGACTTGCCTCTCAGTCTCGCTATATGTTGCACTAATGGGTGGTTAGTGATGCAAATTTAAATGACCATTTCAAAAGTTTCCATTTGATCAGAAATATTATGTTGTGATCTCATCACATCTTTCTTATAGTTTGACATTGAGGATGTCTTACTTTTTTTAAATTTGTATTATTACTGTAGAGAATGTTCATCAGAGAACAATGTGAAGCAGAATGGAAAGAGGTTACTTTGCACAAAATCAATTGAGGGGGAGGGGGTAGAAAATATCAGGGAAACAAGTCTAGGAATGTGCCTGACAGGCAAATGGTTTTAAGCAAGGTGCTTTCAGACTTGGGCTCTTGTCAGAGGTTTCACTGGTGATCACTGGTAGGAAGCAGTCAGGAGTAGTAAAATCTACCCTGATAAGGAAAGAATAAAACCTAAAAAAGGTGGATGAGAGTAGAGGACAGACATATTCTATACCTGTTCTATGAATTGGCATGATGCCAACTGTGACCATGCTACTCCCTTCCCTTTTCATGATTGTATGGATTTTTCATTTGCATTCCTGTGAGCCCAGTCATTGGGGAAAATAATCAGAAAAACCTAAGAAGATTTATAATTGTGTGAGGGAAATAAAAACACTGGGATTCCAAAAGTCACTTTTTCTATTCAGGCACTGGAGTGTGCACAGAGTGACACTAAATAATTGGGTGTTAGATGAGTTTGACTGTGGACCCTGATGCATATAAATGATGGAATTGTGATGGTATAACCATCATGTCATGTGCCTTCTGTGGAGGTAAGAGCCACTATGAATAGTTGTGTCAAACATTCTTAGAATTGAAAGACTTGACCCATTCCTCAAGAAATGCTATGTCCCCCAAAGTAGACTGTGCTGCTTCTTGAGACCAATATCCATCTATGGAGTCCAGAATGTCTGGTATTAAGATTCAAAGATTGTTGTGTGTAACCTATTTAATTATTAGCAGTCAACCAATAAGGAAATTACGTATGTTAGTATATCTGGTTAAAAATACTTTGGTGCTGGTGTTGAAAATCTAATATTAATCTGTAATTTGTGTTTTCTCTCTCCAGGGAACCAGAGTGTGGGGATGTCACCTGGACCCCTAGCAAACCAGGGGATGGATCAAGGAACAGGGCATGGTACTGGGGGCCCAGTCCCAATACCTGGAACCCCACCTGGGCCCCAACGTGTTCCACCTGGTGGATACACTGGGATGCCACCTCCACCTGGTGGTGGGAGCCCAGGCCATGGACCACCGAACCCAGGTGGTGGGATGTACCCTCCCAAGAACTACATGATGCCTCCATCCCCATCTCCAAATCAGATGCCACCCTATGGGAATCAGAACCCACCCCACCCTCACATTGCTCATCCGAATCAGCCTTATCCTCCTGGTGAGAAATTCTGTCATAGTCTGGACTATGCCATTTAAAATATGAGAAACATTTGAAATTGTTGAGAGGTAGTATGCATCCAAATGAATTTGATTTTTGGATCTGAATATGTTTGAAATATGTTAGCTGAAACACTAAGTATATAGCCTGGCCACAATTTCTACTAGCTGGTATGTCAACAACCAGACACGAATCTTTGAAAGCTATTACCAACCAGAATTAAACATATTTTAAGCATTGAAAGTGAGTTTCATGATAACCATGTTTCATGGTTGGTAATCATGAAACTTATTTTCATTTTGCTCAATGCATTATAACTAGTAAGACTGTGTTTTGGTGACTTCTAAATGCTTATGTCTTGTTCTTCATTTTGCTCAGTGCATTATAATCAGTAACACTGGTTTTGTGACTCCTAAATGCTTATGTCTTGTTCTACCTGTTGACATCATTCTGGCTAACCATGAGTGTTCTAGAATATGGCTCATAGATTCAGCTAATAAAGGAAGTAGCCTTGTTTGTTGGGATAAAAGGATCACATTAAATGTGATCAACATCTTCAAAACAAAAATCTAATTTTGCCAGATGCAGTTTACAGTGGTAATACTACGGTTATACAGAGAATTTTCATTGCTGGAAAGATCTCTAATTGATCTTTTAAATGACAATGGAAAAAGTTTAACCCTGTATAGTGAAATATGACATTGAAGGTGGTTGATTTTGCTAAATTCTCAGACTATATTGTTGACTCCTGGTGGGCTGATAGTTAAGGCATGAAATTTGGCCTGTTATACATTGAACGAGTCACTATAATCCCCTAATTTTTATTTACTTACCATGTGTCCCACATTAGGCAGTAGAAATTGTAATTTATTAATGTTATAAGATGCTGAAAATTCCAAAGATTTTTATACTGTCATTGTAGTAGCTATTTTTCCCTCTGGCTTTCCTCTTAAACTTGATGCATTACTTGCACAGATCATCGGCAACAAGTTTTTGCAAAGTGTTTTTGCAAAAAATGAAAGATCTTGAAAACATTTCACTTTGCCACTTTGAAGTGAATATTGTAAAAGTATATCTTGATTCCCTTTTGCCCAATGGGACTGAACTCTGCAATTGAAATGGAATGTGAACTTACAGAGATGAATATGGTGTCAGATTCAAATGAAACTTGAGAAGAATGCATAAATGGTTGTTATATTCTCAATCATTGCACATTATTGCAATATTATCATGACCCTGATAACCTCCATTTTAATTCATAATGGTTTACAATATCTGAAAAATCTTTGCTTGAGAGGCAATATCACTTGTTGTGGCTGCTTTTGATATTGGTCACTCCACTTCACCTTGGTTTTTTTTTTTTTTAAGACTATCCCTATCATCCTGGAATTGTTTGAACCACCTTAGTAGATGGTGCATTGTTTCCATGTGCCTTGTTAAGCCCATTGTACACTTCAAGAAAAGCTATGGCATGTTAACATTTACACTGCACTCCAACTTCATTGTATCAATAGGGAAACTAAAGAGTCTCATTAAAGGTGCTGTGACACCTTTAATGAGACTAGGCAGGTAGAGGTTTAATCTGATGTTTTTGCATTTATGTCACCCTTAATACTGTAAACAAGACTCCCAAATGACAGTCTACATGATTTTAGTTTTTATGGTATGAATTCATTCATAAAACATATTGATAGACCCTCATCTTCTCTAAATTGAAAATTGGACTTGACTGCCATTTTTGACATGCATTGCTCACACAAACTTCTGTTCATTTTTGATGCCCACAATTATAATGCCTGTTTTTTGACTGTACAAGATGTTTGATGTGCATTCCAGCAGGTGCTTATGGAGGCGCACCCCGTCCAGGCATGGGAGGGTACCCAGGTACTGGTTACCCAACCCCAACCCCTTCCCCATATGACAACAGACCTATGCCCAACCACATCCCTGGCCAATCTCCTTACCCTCCCTATCACTACAATCAGGTATGCTCTTCTTGAATTTTTGGTCTGTCTAAAAAAATATATATATACTATGCGTCAGTTGCATGTATTTCCTGCCCATTTTTATTTACTCATTATTATTATTTATTCCTTCAAGCTTTCTTGTTGAGCAAAAACACTTGTTTAAATCCTCAGATCATGTCTTGTTTGTTTTTAAAAAACATTGTTTTATATATGCATTTCATAGCTTTAACTTATTTATAAGATGTGTTAGATTGCTTCTGTACTTCTTTAATTAGCAGTATAGACAGGTTAGGTAAGGAGCTCTTTGTAATCCTTACAAATCCTTATTACATCTGGTATTTTATATGCATTCATTTGAAAGGGAAGGGAGGCACTTGGAATCAGAAAATAGTGAACATAATCAGTTACTGAGAATGCAGGCAGTCAAAATGTTTGGTTTAGGTACCAGTGACTCCATGTATTCAGGGGAATCTGACACTTGCAACTAGTGGCAACTAGTGACCTTAGGTGAATTCATCATTCAGCAAAGAGATGGAGATCTCTCAGAGATGGTGTTGGTTTTTGACCAATTATCAACTATTCTAAGAATTTGAGCATAAATCATGATACTGCATTATGATATTAGCAAATTATTAAGAGCAATGCTTTCTGCAGGTTTACTTGTGGATGGGTGGAATAGGGTAGCTTAGAGGGTGAAGAAACCAAAGTGTTCTTTTAAGAATGTTAAAAGTTTTAATAAAATTGACTATAGGTGTCTTTTATGCCTCTGGTGTACTATCATAGATGTATGTATCCAAGAGTGCCTGTATATGTTCTTCATATCTGATGTGTTTTAAATTTGATTTTTACCATGAATTATCTTCTGGTCTCCATTTCAGGAAAATAGTTTAGATGCTTATGCTTATGGTCTGCTCTTTATCCATAAGATATTAATAATTGAAAAATGGATAAATCTGTCATGCAGGGATGGAATGGTTCCGGGCCCCCAGGACCCGGTGGTTCCATGGTGCCAGGACCTGGGAAGGGTGCGGGGGTGCCCAACTCCATGCCCAATAGCCCAGGGCACCCCCCACCACCTCCATCACAGCGTGGTCCTCCTCACTTCCTCAGACAGCACTTACAGGTGAAGGAATACTCGATGATCATTGAATGATGGGGGGAGGGGCAGTTGCTTAGGGCAGTGTGGCCAGTGCCATCATGATGCATGCCTAATATTGACTTGTGTGAGGGTAATGGCCTCCTGACATGCTAAGTGTCACATGGTTCTGATTCTCTTACTGGTCATAAAATGATCCACAGAATACAGTGCTGGTGTATAGATAATGCTATTCAGACAATGAGAGGTGTGATGGATATGAGTAGCCAAATCTTGGCTTGTAGCAATATAAAAAAATGCCTCTATTTTTTATTTGGCACTTTGGGGTATTCATAGTGCTTGGGATATATAGCAACTAGTGACAAATTTTAATGCCTGTATATGTAAGCATAAGACAGGGTCTCTGGTGTCCATGCAAAGATTATATTATATAGTATATCAGATTTGCAACTGCTGTCACAATTGGCAATGTCTGACTGAATACAGTGTAGTTCATGATTCTACTTCTATAACTGATTTATCCTTTTTTTGCCATTTGCTAATATATTTTTTGGTGATTCTCTATGACAGCAAAAGATGGGCTACATTCCAAGTGCACATGGTCCCCCTGGCTATGGAGGGAGCCCCTCAGGCAGCCCCAGTCATCCTTCGATGGCCCCCCAAGGTGCTCCAACCCCACCAGACACCTTGGCAAAGCCACCAACTCCCAACAGTCGTCCCATTGGAAGCCCTGGTCCAGGCTCTGGTTCCCAGCCCCCAACCCCCAGCAGCACCCCACGACCTGGGGAAATGGGATCCCATATTCGCAATGGGGATGCCAGTAGTGAGGGTGGAAGCTCCTCTGGTATGGATCATATTCAGAAAGCAAGGAAGTGAAAATACTGCATGAATATGGAAAGCTAATGAATTCCCAATTTTATGTTTTAGGGAGTGGACGGGATGGTGCAAATCGTTGTGGACCAACAAGTTTCATCACAACAGGACCTGATGGGCTGCCCATCAATGATGATGCCTCACAGAACTCCACCATATCTAATGCTTCACAAGGTTTGTTTTTCACTGGCCATTGTTGTGTTTATTAGGCACTCAATGGTGTATTATGTTGATGTTATTCTTGTGATTCTGATTGTACAATATTAACTGTGATAGTGTGGATATTGTAGGATTTAAGAACATTTAGAAATGTCAGTGACAAGTCATAGTTGCATACATACCATGGAATAACCTCAACCCTGAACTCAAGCTGAACATGAATTTTTCAAAATGTAATTTTTTAAGCTTTGAATTACTGAAAATGACTGTGTGAAAATTCATCAATTCACACCCAATTCCTCTAGTTCAAAAATGTTCTGTTTCATGAAAAGCAGAAAAAACTATATATACCATAGGCATACATACCAACACAGTCTTTGCAAGAGAGAAATAGATTGAAAGAAATGGACAATGGATAGAAACAGACAATGGGAAAAATTTGAAAGTCACACATTACAGCTTTGTGTAGTAGACCCATCAAAGAGAGTTTTAAGAATTTTTTTTTACTTCACAATGGATTTTATCTCAAAAACATGCCTGAGAATCCAACTTGACAAAAGTCACGGATTCAATATTTTTTAAATTAAACATTTTGGGTCTCTACCCTTAAAGAAATTGTTTGATGTTATAGAGTGATTTAACCTTGAAATTTTTTTTTGTCTAAAAAGACCTTAAATTTGCTCTGAAGTTTACTTGACACAAAAGATTTCTTTCTCCTAGGTTTTATTAGTGTACTTAACAAATTAAGGAAATGATGCAACAGTACTGGTATTTGGAATGCAGATCAATTACAGCTCCTCAGTTTATGATGGATCAATTTGTTGAGATAATAATGCCCATGGATGTCCACTTCAATCCATTTCCTCTGCCCTAAAAAAACAGGCTTGAGAAAAAAGTGGGAAAGGCTTTGACAGATTGTATGAAATGACACTCCTTTAATGACTTGTGCCACCTGATGCTTTGTGGGATTGGACTGACTATACCTGACTGGGTCCTCTCTGATGCATGCAGTGTACTTACTGTGCTTAAGGATGTATATGCTATACAGTGACAGATGAGATTGAATATCAGATTGCAGCTGTTTATAATTATTTTGGAGTGTTAGCAGCCCTTTCTTTTTCATTTTTGGTCAGATAATGAATGCTTCATTGGTTGGCATCCAGATGACTGACGTTTGGAAGATCAATGCTCTACTGTACAATAAAAGATTAATGAGGGTGGCTTGTTCTTGTCTACAGGTTCAGATGAGCGAGCAAGTACACCCCGGAAGGAGGCAATGCAGCAAGGGATGATGGGAGGCCCTGGTGGAGGTGGTCGCCTGAGCCATCCGCCAACCCCTGGTGGAATGCTATCCCCTCATGGGGGTATGGATGGTAGTGGGGAGCACCCAGGAATTCCACCCATGATGCCACCAAACAGCATGCATGATCCAATGATGAATGCCCAGGGGGCCTGGCCTCCAAGATTGCCCACCAGCCCTGTGAGTTCCCTGCCCTGTTTGAGTTCCAACTTTGCAGGTTCTCATAGGTTTCCAGTCCACAACTGGACTTGTGTTGGTTTAGTTCAGTTCTGGTTCTTGGTCATTTGTAGACAAGGAGTTGTTGCTAATGGAAACAGAGCCTGATGCACTGTTTCTGTTTCCAGGGCACAGGTTCTCCTGCAATAAGGGATCTATTCTGTGGACTTAGTTTTCCCAAATTTTAAGTGGTATCCCAAAGTTGGGAATAATGATTTTTTGTGAAAATAGGGTGCCTGCACATCAAAATTGTAATTACCCTGAGTTTTGAAGTAGATTGCTACCTCATAGATTGGTCTGGTATGTGATTCATAGTGCTCATCTGGTACTGTAATGCTTAAAATGCTAGACCACAGCCTTGCTTTCTTATAGTCACAATGATCAATGTGATACATATTTCTATGGGAAATTGTTTGTTTAAAAAAAGCTTATCAGTTGCATGTACAGGCAACCCTGATGAGCAAATTCTTCATTCTAGTTTATATCAGTATCCATGCAATCCAGAATATGAAAAGTCCAAGTTGGGATTGGACCTCCTACTAACAACAGAGGCTTGGAAGGAAGTCTGCTTCACTTTAGAAGCATCTCTGAGATGGCTGGCTCTAAATTTGGAGGGAGAGAGGTTGTAGCTTTTTTTTGAAGCAGGTTTTTTTTAATGGATTTTTTTTTCTTTAGTCAAGAAGGAGTAGGGTCAACCCTATTGTTGTTTTCTCTCCGTCCTTCTTTCAGGTTTTCAATTGCCATATGCCTCCACCAGAACTCTACCGTCAGAAGGTCAATATCCTCTTTTTCCTTTTTTTTCCTCCTGCCTCTCCCTTGCCTCTGACTTTTTTTTGTTCCTTTGCACCCCTGGGTCGCCATGTGTTCCATTCCCAACAGTTGACAGACATTGTTGCTCCTGCACTCCTGCACTTTTTTGTCAGGCCTTGTTCATTGAATTGATGCTTTGCTTCAAGAGAAACTTGGCCAGAAAAGTTTTAAAAGCTGGAACAATTTTTCTGCTCTTTGCATGGATGAGGGCCAATAAAGATCGTTTTTGGCCCACCCTCAGATTCATCTCATATATGCAGATGTGAAGCAGGTGTGTCATTTAAATTATGGGTATGAAAAGAAAAGATGAGTTCTAACTTATTTTCTTGCCCTTTACTGGAGCTACCTTCATGAAGCTTGCTTTGGAAAAATAGATTGATTTGTTCCCAGTGTATTATTGAAGTTTCATCCAAATTTATATTGCCTAAACAAGGCAGTGAGCAATTATCCTAAGAAAATTTGAAATTGAAAATGGACAGAGGTCTGCAATCCCTATTGAGTGCTTCATCTTCCTGTCTCATTCTCTGACAAAAACCCAGAGAAACTCCAAATCATTGGTGCCCAATCCGTGGCCCTTAAGGTGCTTACAAGTGGCCTATGAGGCCCTAACCCACAATACCCTCAGGTTTCCTTAAAATAGTCTCCTACAACGTTAGTGACTTAACATGGCCTGCAATGGATGTGGTAGTGAGCTATATTGCCCCCTAGCTGAAAAGGTTGGGCATCACTGCTCCAAATGAAGTATGAGCAACCTCTGTTTTGATACTTTTTGATTTGTCTGGCATTAATTGGAACAAATATGATGAAAACTTGAAAAAAAGAAACAAGGCAACATAAAATGTTTTTTCAATGGAAGAGATATCGGATTTGGTCTGGATGACATGCAGCATACTTGGATATGTTTTCCACTTCTCTACCAACATGAGCTCTTGTCCATTTTCATGAACTTCTCATTTAACAATTCTTCATTGCCTTGCTATGGAAAATGTATTTGGAAGAAGTTTGAAGATATGTTGGAAAATCATCTATGGACAGTGAAAGTTGCATGAAAATAGCTTCAGTGGGAGCAGAGATGTATTGGATAAATGTTACAGGTCTTTTTTTTTTTCCATACCCTGTATCTCAGTGCCCCATGGGAAATCTCTTTAGGTTGAGCAAGATCAGCATTGAATTTCCACTTTATTTGTCATTGAAGGAGTGCTTCAGGAGCACTCTCAAGGCAGAGACAGATAATATATTTTATCCTGACTTTTGGTCAAATAAAAAACGTTATGAAGTGCATGATAGATCCTCCAAGTCTCTGGAACTTCCCTCAAACCTCTTTTGGTCTTGACACATATTCCCTCTAAGAACTGTTGTGCAGTTCTCAGATCATTTTGGCAAGATGGTTGCATCCTATCTTCTCACAGTGTATCATACTATTGCAATACCATTGGCAAGGCTCAGCCAATGGTAGTGGAAGTTAGTTTTCCATGTAGTCATATGAGCAGAGAACCAAATACGATTTTTTGAAATGCTCTTCACACAGCAAATATGATCACAGTATTGTATTGGGCCATACTTTGAAATTAATATCAAATGGCAAAAGTATGCTACCCACCAGATTTACTATAAAAACAGGCTTTGTTCAAAATTTCACAAGATATCAAAAGAATTAGCCAAATTTTAAAATAAATCCTTGATGAGGTTCTTGACTTTGATGTTGTCTCAGATATGTGCTAACTGAAGACACAGCCTGATACCACTATGAGAAGGCACTTGTTCTCTGTTGGGTTACATTGGGAAATACATGGTGGCCAAAAAAAGTCAGCCTATGAAAATTTGATATGAAAAACCATTGAAGATGGATGAGTTCAATTTATTTTTTATTATGAAGAGAGAGAGAATTTTGCACCAATCTGCTAATATTTGTGAAACTGAGACAAGTTGTAATTGTGGATACAAAAAGTATATAAATAAGTAATAATATAGATAATTAATATAAATATATAAATAATCAGATGAGTGCAAAACCTAGCATTTAACCATATCCCTGGCCAGTGGCTCCTGCAATTTTCAAGCTGCACTGGTTCTTCTGTCTCTTCCCATTTCAACTGCAGGTGTCATTGGACCAAGTGCTAATTCTGGCATATTTGTTCTCATAGTTTTTTCATACTCATGGATGAAAACTGGCAGTTTGGCGTGAATTCCATTTATCTTTCTATCATAATACACCATTCACACATTTCCAATAATTTGTTTTATCAGATTTTCAGCAGCTTAATATTTTTGGCTATCATGTTTAAATCTTGAGTCTCCCATATTTGAAAGATATGAGTATATATGCCAAGCGATTAACTTTATGGTCTTAAGTGTTGATAGTGACAAATCTCCTCATGGAATGGGCCTAAAACCACCCTTATTGGACCCCATCCTATGTTTAAAATGGCTTGAGGATTGCAGGTCAATCAGTTGAAGGTTTGGCTGAGAAGTAGGGTAAAGATCTCATCTGCATTCTTTGCATATATAATAATTCTAATTGAGAAGGAAGTCTGCAAGGCTCCTTTTGACTGTTGGCTCTTCCATGTCTGTGGGTGTCAATTTGTTTTCAGCTATATCTGTTAAATACCATGTCACTTTGTGGGTTCTAGTATCTCCCCCTTCATGACTGCTATACAGAGCTATGAAGAGCCACTCATTTACCCAGAAGAAGAAATTACTATTGTGCATGATGTTTGGGGAAGCTTATGAGAGAGGACTGTGCATGACCTCTGATGCCTTCATTTCTGCTTTATTTGGGCTTCTTATCCCCCCGTTTGTAGTCATGATTGTCTCATATCCTGGCTTTGTAGATGCATCTCCCCTCTTTGTCTGGCATAGATCATGAATCTCTTTATTTCATTCAACTCCCTTCATCGTAGTATGTAGGAGTAGTAGTAGTACAATTATTTGGTATGGTAAGCCTATCAGGTGAAAAATGTTAGATCTGTGATGGAAAATGTAATTAATGTGTAAGATGTATTATAAAATCCTAATTAGAACTCCATATGAAAGCGGATTCTGATTAGTCAATGCATGAAAGCTTTGCAACTGATGTTCAAATATAATCTGTCACATGCACATTTTCACATTGTCAATCACATACATTCAATGTGAGTTTGTAGGGAAAGAACTTGAGGATTGATTTAGCAAAAGGTTTTTTTTTTTAGAGTTTTGTCCATGGTGTGCAGTAAATCAAAAAGATCAGACGACATTCATAAATAACACCATGCATACATCAAAATGACTTGAAGGGAAACAGTTTAATTGAGATGGAGAGAAAGGAGAATTTTAAAATATTTCAATAACAGGAAAACTTTAATAGAAAGTGCTTGTATTTTTTAACTTGTGGCCACATGCAATTTGCGTAAGGGATTGAGCGTGTGTGCACGTTGCAGATGGGGAAGCCGGATGCTTTGATGCGGCTCTATGACATGGATGAGAACCCAGAGCGGAAGATGTGGGTGGATAAGCTACTTCACTTCATGGAGGAACGGCGAACTCCCATCACTGCCTGTCCCACCATCTCCAAGCATCCTCTTGATCTCTTTCGTCTATACTTCCTTGTCAAGGAGGCTGGTGGCTTCATGGAGGTATGCTTTTATTATTAACTGACAGAGAACTCAGGCTCTAGCCAGGCCTCTGAGTACTTCTTGCCCATTGGTGCCATTTGGAACAACCAATTTTCAAGAATTTTCTTGTCTCACTTATAAAGTTTTCTTGAATAACAGCTGTCAGACTGCAACAATTCAATCTATCTGACAACTTGTTTACAATGTGTCAATTGCATATATGCAGGTATCAAGAGCAGATTATAGAGGAAATGTTTTATTTAAATAATGAATATTTTTAGGAGGTTTTGGAAAATTTCAAGTGAAAATTTTCTTAAATTCTTATCCTTTTTTTGCTAGTTAAATTATGAAAAATAGCATGGAAATGTCAAGAAACTGTCAATGATGTCAACTGTCAAAGTGAGCTGTCACAATTTATGCAGTGTTGAAGTTATCTGCTGCCTTCAGTAAAAGGGAGATATTGAAGTTTATATCTTTCAAATATAACTTTTTCATTATTCATGTTTTTTTGTTTGTGCCTACCACATCCAGGTAACAAAGAACAAGACATGGAAAGACATAGCTGGGTCGCTAGGCATAGGGGCTTCATCCAGTGCTGCCTACACCCTCAGGAAGCACTACACCAAACACCTTCTTCCTTTTGAGTGCAAATTTGATCTCGGTGGAATTGACCCTCAACCCATCATCAACCAGGTGGAGGCTGGGTCCAAAAAGAAGAACAAGAGCAGCTCCTCTTCCGTCCCTTCTCCTGGTGCCTTACCCCTATATTTTCCTGCAATTTTTTTGTGAAGCACAGGTGATGACCTGATGTTGGTCTTGCAGGGTCATCAAGCTCCCAAGACTCGTTTGGTCCACCAGGTCAGGGAATGGATGGGTATGGGCATCATGGATATGGGGGATACTCAACAGCACCAGGAGGTCCTGGGGTATACCCACCTCCTCCTGTGTCAGGTGCAGAGTACCTTCCTGGTCCCCCACATCCTCCACCTCCATCTCATCCAGGTCTGTTGCTTTTGTTTGCTTCTGGAGCAAAAAGTCCAACAGAGAGTATAAAATACAATCCAAGAGAAGAAGCAAGAAAAGAAATTTGCATTTGGCACATGGAATAAATGATGTGTTGTTAGTGTAATTTTTTCACAAGAGGCAACTCACATCCTTCTTGCCATTGCTGTAGGGATGGCTGGTGTCCCAAATCACAGCTCAGGAGAGAACATCAGTGTGAGTAATCCATTTGATGACCAGAACCAGTATGGGCGACATGCAGCTGCTGTGGCTCCTTACTCTCCCTACAGTCCTGGCATGGCTCCAAGGCCCCCACAGAGTAAGAGAGATACATTTTGATTTAATTCCTTCCTTCTTTTCATTGCTATTGCTGTATGGATGGGAATTTCCTTCTAAGCCATTTGGATGGAGTTGACAGATACCCAAGTGGTGGTTGATTTGGGATTTTAATTCAGCTTGTCACAATAGCGATTATATATATATTTAAATTTATATAATCCAATGCTGCAAGGTTTTTTGTTTTCTTTTCAGTTTTCTCAGTAAAAGCAATAAAGCTAGGGAATTCTCTGATGATTTATGCCATGGGGTATAGGTTGACTTATATATGACACAGTCAAATTTTCAGCTATTGGCTTTGAGTCCATATATGTATTAAATCATGAAAGGTAGGTATGAGAATGTAAGTAATGTGATTTTTGCCACTTTTAGTATCAATTATAAACCTGCGGATTGTCCAGTTGTGCTTATATCTGAAAATTTTTGCATCACCAAGTCTCATGAAGTCCTGGGATTGAAGGGCATTTAGAACTCATCTTCCAAATAAGGTTGATTAAATTCCATCCCTGTGAATGATTTAATATAAAAATAAATTGAAGATTGGAAGCAAGGTGCATTATCTCTCATGGTGTATTTGCTCAGATTGTGGTTTTTGGAATCTATTAAGCACCCACCTAATGAATAGATAATGGAGTTATGGACTTTTTGCAGAGTAAAGGGTTGCAAGGGAAGAAGCTTCACCACTGATACCCTTCCTCACTTTCCCCTCACCCCTCATTAATCATGCACCTTTTTTGCTTGTCCCTGACATCTTAATGTCTTTCTTTGCTTATCCCTCTTGATTTGTGATTTAAGTGGACTCTTGAGTGGATTCTTGGTGATCAGTGGCTGTATTTAGGAAGTCTCATTGTGTTCTTACAAACTTTTGTTTATTTCCAATAGTTTCTTTGAATCTTTTTGACCTTCAAAGACCTCTAGACTTATTTGAGATGTTCTTGATACCAACCATTCTCATTCATGGCAACCAAAGCTGATTAAGGATTTAAGACAAGATGGTGGTTCATTGCAGAGGGTATGCTGAGAATGTTGCCTCTATTCCATAGCAGACCTTTGAAATTTGTTATCATTTCCTGAGCTAGGTATAGCTGCACTATATACAGTATAAAGTAATGAAGCATATTATCAGGAAGTTGCTTAACACATTGGTGACGGGCCTTGAGAAATCTCGTAGTACGCTTCCTAGTACTCCTAGAAGTCTCGTAGTACTACGAGATTTCTCGGGGCCCGTCACCAATGTGTTAATACTTTATTATTTTGTTGAGAATGAATCTCAGAAAAACCTTGTCCAGTGCTATTATGCATCCTATTGTTGAAATGTTGTTAAAGGTAGTTGAACTGCAAAAGAGCTATTAAAGCATCTGAACATGCAATTTATCCTTAAGAGTTCAATTGTAAACTTTGAAGCTTTCTTCAATGTTAAAGGTGTAATGGTAATGTATGGTACAGGTTGCAAAATTTGGCTGTGGTTCCCAAGCGTGACCTTTGACTTGTTAAGGTGCATTAGACATGCAGGGAGGGGGGAAATAGGCTCACAGTGGTTGAGGTGTGTTTGTTTGTACCAGGTTATGTGGCAGGGTACCCAGGCTACCCTGGCACAACCAGTGACCAGGCCCCTGGGATGCAGTATGGGTCAGCTGGGGCAACCTACCCCCCTCCTCCACAGCCAACCCCTCCACTCCCTCAGCAATCTCAGCCATCCCTGCCTCAGCAGTCTTATCCTCCCACCAGCAGGTAAGCTAATCAGATGGGGATTCAATGCAAAAAACTTTATGGCATTGGCCATGTTCTTGAAATACCTTTGTAATATTTAGTTAAATGGTAGAGTAAAAGAGGAAACTATTGAACATGGATCTGTTGACAGTCCTTGCTTGCTTCTGTGTTTGGATTCAGTGAGACCTAGAGATACAGGAATTCCACAGGAGTTGTAGTTCTCTTCACAATTCCAAAGTATTGAGTTTTGATATTTCCTACATGTCACATCATCCACTTTCGATTTGGCTGAGAATTTCCTCTTCTGTGTCTACCACCATTGTTCATGTGTTGAGTAGAAAATAAGAAAGGAGGAGCTGGATTCTGTGAATAGTAGTCAGGTCAAGATTTTCCATTGAGGAAGGATGTTGAAAGGAATCCCTGTCAGAACTTTTCATAATAGCCACTACTATCTATTGCATTCTCAAGTGCAGTACAGTTTCAAGATTATATTGAAAGTGATGTGTTGGGAATGCCTAGTGATACAGATGTCTGATCTTTTTTCCATAGGGGATACCCCCCAATGCTGACCCCACCATCATCTGGAGCTCCTCCACCGCAGTCCCAACCTCAACCTGCAGTGCAATCTGGACCGAGTGCCCCAGTGACATCCTCCCTGTCCTCGACTGAGCTTCATGCAGCCACTCCTACTCCTGCCACATCCTCTGGCCCCATGACTTCCACCCCACCCCCTGTTTCTGAGCGAATGTCACCTGCTCCTCCACCCCCTGCCACATCTGCCCCTGCTCCCATACCTGGTGGTGCCTATCCAAACTACTCTCCATCACCTCAGCCGGTTGCTCCCAGCCCACAGGCAGCATCCTACCAGCAGGCAAGACATGCTCCGTACTCGCAGTACAGCCCACAGCAAGACCACTATCAGGTCAGCACTTGAATATGCACTAGGTTGCTTCTGTCGCTTGGTTTCTCTTATGTTGCTTTTTTGTGTTCAGGTTGAACTTTTTTGTTCACTGTGTTGGGGTATGTTTGTATTGGTAGATGAATAGTGGTAAGCCAGGTTACCTGCCTGGTGGACAGGGTCCTGCATCTCAGGGACCTGGGCCAGGGCCTGGGGTGGTACCCCAGCCTCCTCAGCCCCACTCACCCACTCCCACCCCTCCTCCTGCAGCTCCTCCACCTCCTCCTCCACCTGCCCCCACCAGCTCATCTCTTCGTATGGCCCTTCAGGGCACACCTACACCCCAAGTATGATTTGGTTTTGTTTGTTTATTTGGCTCCTTGCTTCATAGTCCCTTTTGTTGGCTTTGTCTGTTTGCTGTGTTTTCGTCACTTCTTTAGTGTGTTTGATTCTTTAGCTCCTGTCTCCTCTCCTCACATGTGCTTTTGGGGAATCAGAAAAAATAATTTATATTGAGCTGTATGAATTGAGTTGCAGCTTTACTGAGCTTCCTGGTTTCTCTGATTTCTATAGATGGGAGGGCCGAATAAAGTTGGATATATGATGCAACCCATGAAGGGTTCTGTGGCACCCTCCTCAGGGAAACCCCTTCAAGTCAGTTTCTGCTTTTGTTTTGACTTTTTCATTTATCATTCTTCCCTTTCTCTGTCCAGAACAATTAAGCCACAGAGTGAGGATATTTAAAGACATGCAGTGGCTCTGTAAAATGGTTGCATGTCTTCTTAGGCATATGGAAGTGGACCAGGAGGAATGTATGGAGGAAAACCAGGGATGCCCCCTGGTGCTTATCCCCCCACTGGCCCTGCCCGTCCCCCAGCAGGACCCCCAGCGCACCCGTATCATCCAACATATCAGCAGCCTCAGCCATATGGTCAGTTGTCTTGACTTTATCCTCATGTGTATTATGCAGAAGTATGTCTGATGATCACATTTTCTTTTTATAGGTTGGCAGGGGAGCCAGTATGGGACAGGATGCAGCAGTGGCCCTCCACAATGGGGAGCAGGTCCTGCTCCACGCACAGAACAATGGGTTCAGCAGCGCTACCCTGGCCCCCCGCAGCAGGCAGCTCCATCTACTTACTCTCATCCTCAGTCTCCGAGCCCATGGTCTGGGGGTGCAATGCGGCATCCATCGTACCCTCCCCAACAGCGTCCCCCATTCCGGGACAAGGGACCCATGTATCCTCTTCCTCCTACCTCTGTGCCATCCAAGGTAAGTTGTATTCCATTGGAGTCTGCTTCTACTTGAAAGATCTTGGAATTTTAAAGTTTTTTTAAAATTGTAATTCAACACTTTGAAGACTGTGGATGGTAAGTACTGGCAATTTCCATAGAGTACCAGCAACTGCAATTTGGCCTCAGAAGAGGACTAAATACAACGTTGCAAGTGTTTCTAAAGAGTCCAGCAATTTTTAATTTCCCGAAGTTCTCTGAGGGGTTGATACAAATTGGCAAACTGGATGTAGGTGTACAGATGGTGCTCTGTATTTACGCCTGAGTGTACCTTCATTTTTCAGGCTATGCCACATGGGACAGGGCTTGCTCAACAGGCAATGCGCAGGGATTATGGCTTCCCGCCTGACAGCGTCGAGGCTGTCGCACCCCTGATGGCGAAGCGGAGGCGTCTGAACAGATGCGATGTGGCGCCCGTGGACCCGTGGCGCATCATGATGGCTCTCAAGTCTGGACTCCTGTGCGAGACCACCTGGGCACTGGACATCCTTAACGTCCTCACCTTCGACGACTCCAGCGTCCTCTACTTTGGCCTACAGTGGCTTCCATCCCTGTTGGATACCCTGCTCGAGTTCTACCGCAAAGCCCTAGGCGACATGTTCGACATCTGCGAGGATTTGGAGATCAACTACGACCGAACTGTGGAGCTGCGGAACAAGATGCAGGCGCGACGACCTCCGCGGAGACAGAAGGCCTGGTACGAGCCCAACCGACCCGCGGATCTCCGCGACGTGGATGACCTCTCCGACGTCGAGATCGACCTCGGAGTGCCGAAGCTAGAAGAATCGGAAAACTCTCAGTTGCAGTTTGTTCTGCGAGGAGGGAACTTCACTCGTGTGACGCGAGAGGGGAAACCTGTGATCGTGAACGGCGACGGAAAGAACGTGTTCGTGCTCGACACGGAGCGGGAGTGGGACATTCACGAGGGATTTGAAGTGGGCGCCGACGAGTGGCAGCTGGGCTATGGTGACACCACTCGTCACATCGTCCCACCCTTGAAGTGCGACCTCAACGTCGTCCCGCTGGTTCGAGTGCTCCCAGACAAGAAATCGAAGATGGAGAAAGAGAACACGGAAGTTGACTTAGTGCAGAAAGAACCAGAGAAGGTAGAGGACAAAAGTTCGTGTCGGAACAATGTGATCCCCAAGCTTCGTAATTGTGATGTCAAGAAGCGGTCGCTCGAGAGCGTGCTGATGCGGATCAAGAAGGACACAGACGCGTTGGAATCCGATCAGCCTGTAAAAACCGACGATGACGATGGAGAGTCCAAGAAGGACGAACCCGAGACCGCAAAAGAAGAGGAGAAAGAATCCAGCGAATCGTCGTCCAAGGACGATTCCGCCGTTGTGATAAATGGGATCAAGGTGCGGGACCCGTCCCGACGCACCAGGCGAAAGAACTTGGAGCACGGAGAGTGTTACCCACGAGACGAACCCAGTTTGAACCTGGTGACGGAGGGGCAAGACATCATGTCCCGTCGCGCCATCGCCATTTCTACCATCCTCCGCAACTTGAGTTTCATCCCCGGCAACGATGCCGAACTGAGCCGCAGCTCCCAGCTGCTGCTCATCCTGGGCAAGCTTCTCTTACTCTTTCACGAACACGATGAGAAATCCGAAGAGAGACGGACGACGCCGATCGCCATCGTCTCCGATGCCGACGATGTAGTCGTGGACTCGGATACCGATCTGACCCTAGAGGCGAACGACTGGTGGCACGAGTACCTGCCCGTGCTGCGCGAGAACGCCCTGGTGATGCTGGCCAATATGTCTGGTGCTTTGGAGTTGTGGCGATTCCCAGAGGCCGTGTGTCGACCCGTTTTGGACGGTCTCCTGCATTGGGCCGCGTGCAGTTCGGCGGAAGCATGCGACCCGTTCCCGTCGCTCGGCCCGCATTCTCCGTTATCCCCGCAGCGACTCGCCCTGGAAGCCTTGGTGAAGCTGAGCGTGCAGGCGGACAACGTGGACCTGATCCTTGCCACCCCGCCCTGGTCGCGACTGGAGCGGCTCGTTTCCCAACTTTCCCGCTGGCTCAGTCGCTCGTACGATCAAGTTCTGCGGGAGTTCTCGTTGAATCTGATCGCCGCGTGGAGCAGCGCCGACGAGATCACCGCCCGCCTCGTCGCCAACCAGTCCGGCTGCATCGGGCTCCTGCTGTCGTTCGTCGAACAGGCGGAGTCGACCGCTCTCTCCATTGCCAACACGCACGGGGTGGCGTTGCTTCGGGACAACCCGGATGCGATGGGCACCTCTCTGGACATGCTACGGCGTGCTGCCCGCGCTCTCCATCACCTATCTCTCGTACCTGCCAACCGCAAGCCGATCGTTCAGCACGAAGCCCGGTTTCTGTCGCTGGTCATGTCGCAGATCCTGGACCAGCAGGTCGCTTCCATTCTCGCCCAGGTCCTGTTCAACGTGTCTCCCGGCACCGACGGGTCCTGAGGTCCCGTTGTCTTCGTCTTTCTCAAAACGCAAACCGAGATCCTTTTCTTTTTCTTAATCGATGTGTGTTCGCGTGTATGAGAGCATCAGGTGACGTTCGTGGCCGATTCTCTGTGGTGATATCACGCCTCACGATGCTCAATTGCTCACCGATTTGTGAAGAGGATGTCGTCTGTGGACCCCTTTTTGTTTCCAATCGTGGAAAAACGAGAAAGATAATTTTTCTCTCTCTTTCTCTCCAAAATTCTGGGGGCTTTTGGAGGGATGTATATATAAACGAGAAAAAAAAAAAGAGGAAATGACTACGATGATTTCCACCGTGTGATACTATCCCTGGAAACTAGGAACGATAGCCACGTACGCGGCAGGCATTCCCCGATCTGCCTATTTATTTACCCCGGACTCCGTTCTCTCTGTCCCGAGGGAAAAAAAGGAAACTATACGGACGTTTTCCATGCGCTGCTCTTATTGGGGGGAGGAGGTTTTTTTTTTTCTCTCTCTTGCTTTCCCAAAATTATTTTTCACGCAGAAATAATTTAGAACCTCCTAGTCCTTATTTTATTGTCGAGGAATCAAGGTGGAGCAAAAGGCAAAAAAGAGAAATTCCCTCGGGTGGCATTTTTCTCTCTTGTTCACTGTTTCGTTCTTTTTTTCTTCCAGTTGATGAGAAATGATGTTCTTGAGGACAACGTTTACAAAATAAACTGTTGTACAGCCTCATCTAGTGTCTTTCACTCTTTTGGGTTTTTCCTCGAAGGGAGGCAGAACTAGAGCATGTTTGAATATTGGAGGGAAGAATGTTTCCTTCATTTTGCAGGGTGGAATACCACAAAACTGGAAAGCTATGAAGTATCATAATACTGGAATGGAATGGATGCGGGAACTTGTCTGGAAGGAATCCTTGCAATTGTGACAACAACAAAAAAACAAAACAAATAACGTCTTGGAAGTTCTATAAAGTTGTTTCGGGTGGGATGTTACGTTTGACCTAAGGAAGGTCCTATGAGGAAAATTCTCCCGAGGCAATCAAGTGCCATCAGATGGAGGAATGGATCTTGCTGGGTCATTCATCTTAAGGGTAAGTTCTACCCTTAATTTCCAACCTGAAAACTGAAAAGCCCTCTCTCTCCAAAATACTCCCTCTCACCCCCTTTAAACAATATATCAATTAATTACGGACTTGAAGCTCCTCCCATTGAGTGAGGAACCAAGTTCATTATCAAGTACCAGTCAGTACTTAAAATCTGTATCTCAAAAACGGCAAAATCGATCGCAAAAACACGAAATCAACTCAAGGGGATTTTCATCATACCAAGTGGCTCTTCTTAATTTGGGCGCGTTTTCATGCAAATCGAGCAAAACTTTGGCTCCATAGAGTCCCATTTTAACAGCCTGGTTACATTCTCTCAGACCAGGTGGCGAACGTGTCCCAAGCAATGGAGGAATAGGCGTTGTAAATGAGGACCCGACCCCCTCTTGTTCCCTATTAGCCGGTCACCCAGGATGGTTGTGGCCAGAGCCTTCATGGATGTGAAGAGCAGAGGGTGAACATTCCCCCTCGATGAATCCACGTCTAGACGGGAGAGGAAGGGAAGGAGAAACACGAAGAAACCAGACAGTGAAGGCCTTTTCCTTCCATGGCGTGGAAATGACGAGTTCATTCGAAAATGACTTTTGTATTCAATGACCTGTCCATGTAAACGGCTGGGTATGCTCCGAGGCGTATAATCGGGAGTATAAATTCTCTAGTGCGTCGTGTACAGTTTGTTAAAGAATGTTCCTGCGATATCGTGTCAGACACATCTCGACCTGCAACACAGTGGCAATGGGAGCCAATAGAGAACCTAAGCTATCTCTTGACCTCTTATTTGGATAGAGAGAAGTTAATTCAATGGGACGGGTATCGGGGAATCATTTGTCGGTGAGCCATACAGCTTTCCACGATGAAAACAGCTCCGTTTTTCTGGTCCAATCATGGCCCTCATTTCATCGAGAAAGTTTTCAAAGGTGTCTATAGTGAGACCACCATTCATTATCTTCGAATGTCCTGAAATCCATGCGTGGGAGAAATCACAGCAATTAGAGTCATGTTCCCTCCTCGTTGAGTGTCAACCCAGTCCGGTCTCTTCGATGGACATATACGAGAAAGCCTAACTGCAAACATATCAGCGTGGAAATTGAAGCAGAAACTATTGTATCGGGAAATGAATAATTGCATGCTTTGTTTTTGGTTCATAGGTTCATGTTGGCTGTTGTACTGAAAGAGAAGCCAAAATCTCTTTCCTATGTATGGGTGGATATCTGACTATTGATAGACCCTGTTCGCATCCAAACAAAAATGTTCTGACGCTCGTGAAGAAGTTTCACTTCGTGTCCCTCTCCATCCTATGAGCCATCTTTGGGGCAGTATTCATCTCTTTCTTAGAGGATGTTCTTTAATGCATGTTATACCGAAAACTCGCTTTCACATCATCACAGACAGGTCAAAGAAGAGAGGTCATCTTGAATAAAGTCGATCTTTCCAGGGGAAAAAAGAATTGGGAAAGAATATGTCCTTTACTGTCTGGTTTCTCGTCGCCTCCCCTCCTTTGCCTGGATACGAATTCCTTTCGGGGGAATGCTCACCCTCGCCTCATCACATCCATGAAGGAGGTTCTCCCTTCCCAGCACTCGGGTTCAGAATCAAATCGGTTGGTATACTTGGAAACGCCATCTGTGAAGACGGACTGGGTAACGAGTGATTCGATGCATTTATTCTATTCCTGTCACCTAAATGTAGAATTCTCGCTCCCCGTGACTTCCCCTCGACCTAGAACTGACAATTCCCTCGTTCACTTTCCTGTCCCCGAGCGAAACTGCTAGACCTCGCCGATGAAATAGTGGAGGTGCAGAAAGTATCCTTCCTGGAGAGGAGATTACGTCTGGAGGAGGAGGATGGTCGTATTCAGGGAAGAAACGAAGTCAACGGATGCTCGGAGTTAAAGTAATTGTTCAGAGGAAGAGTTGATGGAAAGGATCATGAGGCTGTTGCATTGTGGCCATGAGCGCATTAGGATTCCTCTAATAATGGAGTCCCCCCCCCCCCCACAAAAAAAATGAATAAAAAAAAATAAAATATATATTTTAAAATATATATTTCCCGGCATAGAGTGATCGCAGTTCTTTACAATTAAATAAATTAGGGAATAAATTATAAGCCCACATCACCATGCTCAAGGAACGCAATGTCGAGGAAGGAGGGAGAGAATATAATTTTAGCTATTAGGAAATGGAGACGAGGTTTATGACCATCGCGGGCCTGTCACTTCCCATGACCGGTCTGACATGGGGAGAATAGCCTGCTACTACGATCTCTGAGTATCTGCACTGTGATGCGGCTTTTTTTTCTTGTTATTTTAAGTGATCTTTCAAATCTCATTTGTGTGCATCGAGGAGCATGTCTCAAGTAGGAGAACGGTGCAAGAGAATTAGAGTGATATGCACCAAATTAGCTAAGTATACATTTTTTTTTCGGACGACGACACAATGTTTTGAAACAGTGTGACCACGCCGATGTATCGAGGCGAAGAATGCAGAAAGCGGAAAGTGAAGGGAGATGTAAAAAAAAAAAAGGGGATTTGGCTCCCCTCGATCAGATAAGAGATCCGATGGAGGTAGACGGATTTGAAAGAAACGCTTTCTGTCGGAGTGAGCCCTGAGGGGAAAGAGGAGCGGGGAGACGCAATGCGACATCTATGCAACACCTTCGCCCTAGCTCAATTTTCAGGAAGGGTAGGACTCCCCCTTAAAGCCTTCTGTATCAGCTCGAACGGGGAGTCATATTGACGGGAGAAGTCGGAAGAAGAGAAATCTATTAACGAAGAGCAAAATCAGCCAAAAATCTCATGCGCCCAGTTGCGCCTAAAGTTAGGAAAAATTTTCATATTTTTGATCTCGCAATTTCTCCAGGATAGACGCCAATGCCTTTGACCCGAAAGGACCTCTACAACATCACGAGGCAGATGAACCGAGCAGACCCTGCTGACTCAAGTGTCATTCCAGTGTTGGTCAAGCTCATTCAAGCCCACTACAAAATAAGCCAGGATTTTCATGATTCATTGCAATGTCAATTATGGAAAAGTGCCGAGCTATTCAGAAGACTTGCCTTGGTTCTTCGGGCTAAGTCTTCAGAAAGACTGAGAGGTTTTCAGACAGCGATGTCAATTGGCTGAAAGTGGTCTTCAAAAAATTTTCCCTCACTTTAGGCGCAACTGGGCGCATGAGATTTTGGGCTGATTTTGCTCTTCGTTAATAGACACTCATTGGCTTATAAGGAATTCTCTGAGAAATCTTGAGAAGTACTTCAAATTCACTCGATAATTTTACCTTGTCATTAGAAGTAGTTCATCAATCAACTACACAGGATCTAATAAATAACATGAGTTATGCATACACATCAAGAGTAAAACTGTACATACAACAAGCAAGAGTCACTTTCAGGTACACCTTCAGATCGCACTTGATGAAAAAACAGCGATAAGAACAGTCGTATTACATGACAAGCTTTTGTCACAATTTGGCATCAAGTCTCTATACTTTAAGAAAAGTTCAAATCATTGACCTTTGCACCATGTAAAGGCTAATAAAGGACCAGAGGAAGGCCTGGAGAAATATCGATGCAGGACAAGGACTTCAATCCGTAACTTTTAACGACAAAAAATTTTTTCTTCCTCCATTTTCAAAATTTGACTTTTGTCCAAGAAATTCGGACTTTCGTACCACTGTGCGGTGGCTCACTCCAGAGCAGCATCGGGTGAGAGTCGCTAAATCGGCGGTGAGGCGCCACCGAGCGTCTGTCGGTTCTATTGGGTCGATCGGAAAGTTCTGGCCGTTTCGAGAACATTCCATACAACCGAGTTTTTTTTCTTAAAAAAGCAAAAAAGTTCATTCAACGAAGTAATCGCCATCACAGTCGATCACCTTCTGCCAACGATCAGGCAGACTCCTGATTCCATCCCTGTAGAACTGAGCTGGCTGTGAGCCGAAAAAATCGGTCAGCCAGCTTTCGACCTCGGCGTCATCGTTGAACCCTTTCTGGCGAAGATGATTGTCCAGAGCGCGGAAGAGATGGCAGTCGGTTGGCGCCAGATCTGGGCTATACGGAGGGTGAGGCAGAACCTCCCAGCCCAGATCCAGCAGTTTCTGCCGTGTGATCTTCGCGACATTCGACCTTGCGTTGTCGTGCAGGAATCGAACACGACGGTGCCCTGGCCTCACCGTGCGGAGTTTGTCGGCGAGCTTCTGCAGCCGATCGCAGTAGTAGGCGGCGGTGATGCTGGTATCGGATGAGAGCAGCTCGAAGTCGATCACGCCTCGCACGTCCCACCGAATGCACATGACTTTTTGGGAATGCAGGTCACCTTTCGGCTCCGGCTCTGGCTGGGCATCGGCATCGACCCACTTGGCGCCTGCGTCGGTAGTTGACGTACAGCATCCACTTTTCGTCTCCAGTGACTACAGAATCCAGCCAGTCGTTTGTGCGCTCGTACGACAGCAGCGAAGTGCACACCTCAGCACGGCGTTCGCGGTTGCGGTCGGTCAGATCGTAGGGTACCCACTGACCCAACTTGCTCTTCTTGCCGATTGCAGCCAGGTGCGTCACGATTGTGGACTGGGCGCAGCCAAGTGCTGTCGCTAAGTCGCGGGTACTTTGCCTCGGATCGGCTTCCACTGTGTGCTGCAACTGCTCGTCGTCGATTTCAGAGGGGCGGCCTGACCTGGGCTCATCCTCGAGGCTGTAATTTCCAGACTGGAAACGATCGAACCATCGTCGCGCTGTCCTTTCATAAACTGCACCTTGGCCAAACGTGGCGCAGATGCGGCGACTCGATTCGGCATCTGTGATGCCAGATAGGAAGTCGTAAAGAAGGCACTGACGTTGGGCGGTTTTGTTAAAGTCGATTTTAGAAGTCATGGTTATAGGCTTTGAACGACTAAGCAACTACTGCGTAATCACGCCCACACACCCTTTATATACTGCTACTGTGGAAGGTTCGAGAAAGTTCCAGAAATTTTTTTTCTGGAAAATTCTCGAAACGGCCAGAACTTTCCGATCGACCCAATAATTATTTTCCGTCGAGAATGAGCCGATGATTCAACATATCCGCAATGTTGGTATCAGTCGTTGAGACGACGCAGACGACGACGTTGATGCTATGGCGAAGGGAAATGCGAAAAACAAATTTGCACTTAATTTCGAACGACCGCTTGCTCCCTTCGGCATTTTTTTTTTGCGTGGAATTCCGAACAGGCACGAAAGAAACGAGGTTGAGTGGTCTTGAATCCCTTCTCGGTCGTCGGAAGTCAGTGGGGATGCAGAAGAGGAAGTCTCGTCGCGTCCGTCGCCGCAGACGTCAACGGAAACTTTGGAGCCACGTGCTAGGCTACTGACTGGACTCTTACCCGCGATTCCCACTCAGAGGGATTTAGGAACCGATCGCGTCCGTCATCTTCGAAGCGACATTCGATACTTGCTGTTTCCTGTACCGCAGTCAGGAAAAAATTTCGGGAGGCAGGAGGCTAAAGAAGGGGAAGGGGTGGAAGGGGGGGTAGGAGGTGGACAAGGGAGGCATGGGTTGCGGGCACCCTCCTCAGTGAGGATCTAGGGGGCAAATCTCCCCATGGGGGAGATTTGGGGGAATTAGCTATTAGGACGCAAAACTTGCAAAGAAGAGAAGCATTGCAGAAAATATGCTGGGATTTCGGGGCTGTCCATACCCTTGGATCTCTCCCCTATTGATGTCAATTTTCTCTTATTAATTGGCCGAGCAGTCGACTCTACATATTTATCCCCCTCGCAATGTAACGTGGCGTGATATCGATTCTCGTTGCTCGAAGTGTAGAAATCTTATGCCTTCGAGACGGAGGCAAGGTGAGGAATTTATGGTGTCATCTTTTGGGAAGATGCGACCGACGAAGAAGAGAGGGGCCGATGCGGAAAAATTCTGCCATTTGCCGAGGTAATACCCTCGGTGATTCGTCGACGACAGCGAATCTTTTTTTTCATTTCGTTCGCGGTCCCCGAAACCCTGTTGCCGTTTCGTATGGCCGATCGCACGGCTCGTCGCGACGTGGATCCAGGATGCTCGAGAAGGACTCCAAAGTCATGGTACAGTCCTCAGCGAGGAGAGTCGTCGCGGACGCTCGTACTACCCGTGTTACCCGTGATCCGACGTGGCGTTTCCATTTCCAAGGCAAAGGGTCTGGCGTGAAATTAATTTATTACGCACGTGTCTATGTAAAATCTGCTCTCGCGAAATGGACTCGGGGAGCTTTCAGGTGCATAAGTCCCAGAGCGAACGTCAGGCCAGATGTACTGTACATGTTGAAATAAAAATCGATGACGGGTGTAGAAGCCGGACTCGAGCGCAAGAGCCAGCGTTTTCTCCTCGGCACTCCTCAAAGCAGACCTCGAATCGTTGCCTTTTAATTGAGGGCTTTTTCGTTCCAGAATCCAGTCTTCATTGCCAAAATGCTTCTCTTCGTCCTCTTCTCGCTGCCCGTCCTCGTCGTTCAGGTCAGTACTTGAGAATATTTTTCTTCCGTACGAACATGAAATTCTTTTCCCTCGTGACGATAGTGTCGGAGTCTCGAGGCAACAGAGTCAAATTTTCGAGTTGTTTTAGAGTTGAGGTTGCTAAAACCTGAAAGGCTAGAGCATTTCGTATCTTTCGAGTGATGACGCCTCATTTCTTTTTCCACAGGCTCGGGAACTGGAAGGTTAGCACAAGTTTCTTGCATCTTCAACATTTTCTTTTCTTTTATACGACGTCTCTTCATCGTGCCAGCGATAGGAGTCCGTTTTGATGTTTAGGAGAAGCATTGAAAGGAAAACGAGAGGAGGGTATTGCTGAAAATCCATTTTACCTTCCAGGAAAGGCCAGTAGGACAACGATCCAATTAACTATAAAGAGGGCATTTGCTCTACAGTATATAGCTTTGAAAATGTACTTTAAAAAAGGAAAAAAAGTTATTCCTTTTCATCTTATTCTTTTTCCTTGCAGCAGCACCGAATGCCTCGTCTCAGAGTGAGTTGACATATGATAAAATCCGAGCGTATCGCACCGGGAACCCAGCATGCGCACGAATGCTTTGTCCGCAGGGTTCTTCTTTGGGCTGGGAACCGGCAACCGCTGCACGACGACGAACACGGCCCTCACTGCAGGGGCAACTGCGACCATCCAATCACCCAACTACCCCAGCAACTACAATAACAACTACTACTGCAAGTGGACCTACACGGTGAGGATCCAGAGAAGTCTAGAGTAATAATTCCTTCGGGTCATTTACCCCTCCCCCCCCTCCATAATCCCCCTCCATAAAGGACGTTGAGGTACTATGGGAACATAAAAATCGACTCCCCTGAATCGAAATTTCGCTTCATAATTCTTGTAAGGGACCTCACTCAAGAAAGGATTTTGGAGCCGATTGCTGACTCTCTGAGGTCACGCTCGAGGCCATGATTTTGAGGTCAAAGGTCACGATTTACATGCCTCTCTTTGAAAATCTGTATCTCCCCAACCCTTGATCGCAGAAGCGTCAAATTTGTGCCATTCTCTTTGTTGGACCTCCCTTCCAACTCGCACCCACTGGTGCGTGCGTGTGATTGTGTGTGCGTGAGTGAGGGAGTGGCAGGAGAAGCAGGAGACTCTCCTGCATGCCTTCTTCCTCGCCAACGACCACGAGCTGCTTTCCTGAGTCTATGTTTTGGTGGAATGACCGAATGAATTCAAATTACATTCATGTTCCATTGCCTTTCTAGGTGAATCGGTTACTAAGTGGTGGGGTTTTTCCCAATTGTGCCTGAAATGGCCAGCATACTGTACAATGCGCGATCCTTCTTTCCCTCTCCTACCACCTTTTCTTTCCAGTCTAGACTTCTCTTCCCGTGTAAGGGAAATGCGAGGCGCCAGCACACTTCTATCGCACTATTTCCTTTAAATATATATATATATACATTTTATGCTCGCCGCCTTCTTCCCAATCCATCTCTTTCCTACCAATTGAAATAATTCGGCATTTACAGATTACGCTTCAGAATTTCCACACGCGAGGCATCCAACTTCTCTTATGAATAGTGATGGAACTCTCTCGATTTCATCCCTTTTCTACCAATCAATATGCTAAGAATATTGCGAGATCGTCATTCTTCTGGTTTCACTCCCTGATGAAAAAAATAATTCCGTCAGAGTCCCTCCTTTTCTCTGGTGGCATTTTTTCTTGTATTCATTCCAGTACGTAAGAGGATATTGGTCGACGACTATCACTTCCTGCGAAAACTTTTATAATATGGGGGCAGCCGTGGAAACGTACCTGTATTTGTAACACCTCCCTCCCCCAACCCCTCGTCAGTTGACCTTTGACATGTAAAAGAGTTTTCAGATCTGTCTGTTTGAAAATCTTTATTTTTCAGGTACAGGTAGGTACAGGTAATTTTTTAATATATTGCTTTCGTTACATGCTGTCTTTCTCCTTCATTTTCCATTTTCATAAAAATATATATTTATCTTCTATTTTTTTTGGCAACGAAAACAACGATCAACCCAGAGTGCAGTCCATTCTTCTCGTGAAGGCTTTTTAGAGTTCGGCAAAGAAATGGATCGAGCATGGAGTACCTCGCGTACTGAATGTGGAAAGAAGGGTTACCGGCTTTTCTTCTCGGCCAAAATGGTACGAGATATGAGAAGGGCAAGGTAGAAAGGGAAGAGGGAAGTAAATCCATTTCTCAGACATTCAGACCGGAAGAGGGGGGACGTGAATGCTGGTGCCATGCACGTCTTGGTATGTGAGAGGGGGGGGGGGGGAGGGGAAATGAAGAGGTAGACTTTAGTGAAAACGCACAAGAGTTTCGTTGACCTTGTCGTCCGCTGGCCATTTTAGGCACAATAATAGGAATAAATCACACTACTCGGTAACCGGTTCACCTAGAAAGGCGATTCGTTATAGGTGTCATCTGAATCGTGGGTCAAGCCACCACATCGTAGAGGAAAGCAACTCGTAGTCGTTGGCGAGGAAGGAGGCATACAGGAGAAATACAGCCGATTGCTGCATGATTCTTCGACTTGGCCTCAGTCAAATCGTTCTTGGTCTGAGAAGAATCAATACATTTGCGCATGATTCAGCAGAGCCATTTTTCACAGTCGTCTCGAAAGATCTACGTAAAAAGACATAAATCCTCATTCTCAAGATACTTGGTTCCTAAGTTCAAAATAACTAAAAATGAAAATATATTCGCAGATTTTCAAATGCCTCCCATACCTTCAACATTTGAACGCAGGGAGATAAAAGTGGAGGCAACGTCCACGCTATTCATTTGTGTCTTTCCCGATAAATCAGGATTTAGGGATGAGATAAGTCAGGTGCAACGAGACGCACGTTACGCAAAATGCATTCCGCTCTGCGAATCCGTGAGAGCAAAGTCAATAACTTTCCAGCAATATTTAGAACCCCGAGGAAGAAAGTGAGACCAATATCAACATTTTTCAAAGAGAAATGTCGATGTGGGCCTCTGGAGAGACCCATCCAAATCCTGACCTTTGACCCGACTACATGGCTAGACTGGGATTTTCCCCCGAGGATGAGGGAAGAAATCATGAAGTTTCAGGCGTCGAATACTTTCTGGTAACACTTCCGAAATTTGCGGCTATTTTCCCCACAAACACCCTAGGAGGCATAAGATCACGGTCAAATGAAGGTGGAGGCAGTAGTCCTGCCAGGAACGCTCCGCTTTCAATGAACATTCCATGGGAACCCATACGGAGATCGCGAATAATAAATAAATGTGTCCCTACAATCCAGAGACTCGTCTCTATCGATTGATCAGAGAACATTTCACAATTTATGCTATGAAAGCGAAAAAGAAAAAACACATGAAAAACCCTAGGGAGTTGCGTTTTTTGCCTCGATATCGCTCACATTTCATTACTTTTCTTCGAAATGCCCTGTTCAAGGTTCGTGAACTTTGGCATACAGTTCAACCAAGAGGTATTCTAAAGTCGCAAGGATAATTATCCTAGTGGTCGGAACGGTAGGAAACTGCTTGAAAATTAGAATTATTTGTAATACGGGCTCTTGGTCTTTGACCTTTGAAGTCAGGTTGAATCTTTATTCCTAGTTTGAAATTCGATTGATTTGTCTTTTTTCCGATTTAGTTATTTTGGTGTTAATGGGGCGAACTGTTTCCGAGTTGTAAGTGTATTGATTCTACCCGTCGAATGGCTATCAAACAGCAAGTTTAGCAAGGACTTATGATTAACTAAACGGAGTCCAAGTCTTCCGCATGAACAGACAACGCTAGCGTTTCCTGACTGTAGACTGGCTGTAGACGGGGAGGCGTTGAGTACTGGGAACAATTCCACGTGCTCCCGTACTCAGCAATGGACAGTGGAGGGCTGCCTCGCTTCTCCCTCCTTTATCTCGAAAACGTTTCGGTTTACGAAAAATTCTGCCTAAACAAGATTTGTAGTCCAGAGTCTGCCCTAGCCAATGGTATACTTTTTATTTTTGACAATATCTAAGTGAGATAAATGTACGCAAAGGATAATGCCCCTGTAATGTAACTCCCTTTCAATCAGACGCCATCCTTCTCCCCCTACATCTCGACAGTGATGAAAACTTAACAAAAAATCACTTTCTGGCAAGATTTGTAGTCTATATTCGACCCTAACCAATGGTATACATGTTGGAGCTGTGCACCTTCATTTTAGTCTAATACTCCCAAAATAGGACCATCCTCAATCTCACCTCTCCCGGGAGGTCAGGCAACGTTCCGTCTCTCTCAAGCATCTCAAAAATGGCTCGTCTCATGAATGAAACTTCCTTTTCAGACATGATTTGGATCCCAGAGTCTGCGGTATAAGTTTTATTTAAAAGGAAAGGGGGGGGGGGGGTCTAAGTTGACAAACTTCCCTTTACGAACATCATAAAATCGATTTATCATAATCAGGAAAAACAGTAGTCTCATGACGATCGTTACCCTTGTAGCCTTAGGTTGTGTACCGCCTGCACAAGGATTGTGCACACAATCACACGCACGCACCAGTGGGTGCGAGTTGGGAGGGAGGTCCAACATNGGAGGTCCAACAAGGTAGAGCTGCACGCAAGGATTCAAGATTTCATGCAAATCGGCAATTAAAGCCCCGCGTTCTCTATTCCCTGGGAGAAAGTAAGCAATCTCGGTGTCATTTGATCCCTGAAACATCCCTCTATGCGATAGGCACAAAAATATCCAGTATTTTCGAATGGTGAACAGAGGAAATCGACACGGTATGACAGGAATGGCCTCCATTTTCAACATAGACGACAGCAAAAAGCGATAGGCTCCGAGGAGAGCGACGGATTCTCACGGATTCACGCATTCACGACGAACGGATTCTCGTGAAAATCCGCACGAAGCTTGTCGAGAGACTTCTTAAGAGATTCATCAGAAGAATTTTGAATTTCGGCCTCGTTTTCGAGCAATGTCCGTCAACCTCGAGTCATTTCCAAAAGAGTGGCATTTTCAGGTGGATCGTCGAACTTTGAGGGGGGACGGTCGGAGGAAACTATGCACAAAACTTCGCCAAAAGATAAAGATGGACCAGGATAGCCTCCAAAAAGTGTAGCATGCTTTTGTCGATAGAAAATTTCTACGAGGAATGAGCGAGGAAAAATGGGAGTCTGCGATGGGAAAATTCTCAGTTATGGCGCCATGCGTCTCGACAACGAGAGTCACATGCATGCATTTATTTATTATTTCCATTTAGCGCGGTATGTCCCAAGCTCTTACCGTGTTTAAACTGCGAAGACGCTAGTTCCCAACCCCTCTATGTCTAAAAGTTTCTCTCCGTACATTTAGCACTGGAAACTGGAGTTTTAGTACCGGAGCTCGCACTGGAGTCTCTCAGTCTAATCGGCTCTAAGACCCTTTCTTGAGTGAGGTCCCTTACAACAATTATGAAACTAAATTTCGATTCAGGGGAGTCGATTTTTATGTTCCCATAGTACACTAAGGTAATTTGGAGGAATATGGCCCTTAAAAGTGAAACTTGGTTCTAACGGTCCATCGAGGTCAAATTTGACCTCGTCAATATTCCAAAAATGTCGCTTGATGACTCCTTTATTCAATCCCAAAAAGACACATGCAAAAAGATGGGTGGGAAATGAGTATTTGGGCCCTTTCCAAGTTGGTCCCAAGAGGCCCTGTTGTTGGCGAAACATGGCCAGGCATTACGGGGAATATGGCCTCCTCGGAAAAAAATAGAGGAATCACATATCCCTCAGAGTGACGTTTTTTGTTTCGATAACTACCCACTTGTGTTCATCATAACCACTCATAAAGGTAGGGGCTTCCTTCTTTGGGCCATCCTGTACTATCTTCCATCGAGGGACGAGAACAGTGGCTTCTCGTTCTCTCTTTGACAAAACTGAAAACTCCTGCGAAAATAATACTAATTTCATTTTTTATGGCAAAATGGTGCACTGCAAGAAACAAAAATGGCACTTTTCGTCGCCTACAAGTAAATATCTTTTGTTTGATTGGTCTCTTTCCTTCGAAAACTCTCCAGAAGTGGCTACCCAGGGGGGGGGATGGGGAGGGGACACAACCTCGGGGAGATGGAGCTTCAAATTTGCTGGAGCAATTCTGTGTTGAGATAAGAAGAAGCATGCCAAATTTAATTGCTGTTGATGCTCTCAGAGAGGAATACGAGGAGGTTTAGTTTTTTTGCGGGAAGGGGATGAAGAAAGGTAATAGGCAATACCGCGCCTATTGATAGCCATTCTAAGCAATAATGTAAATTGCAGGCGCAAAAATATGACAGCAGAATGAAAAATGTGTAAATTTTTTTGGCCCACCCTGTATATATTTCTCCTGCTTCGCATGTGATGCTAACGAAAATGGAACGTGATGTTTGTGGGTTTGCAGTGCGCAAAGCAGCTGACGCTGTCCTGTTCCAACATTCAAATCCAGTGGTCTCTATTCTGCTGGCGAGATGCACTTCTCGTGTGGGGCGGCTCGGCAGGATACAAGACGTGAGTTCTCAGTCAAGTATGCCTGTTGTGCATATGTGATACCGGTTCACAGATCCGAAGTGCAGACATGCCACATACACTTCACCATAACCAAGGCATATTGCGTATCATCGCGTCTGTGGAGAAGAAAAATAATGCTTTCCTGTTCCCGACGTAGGGATGAATTCTCACTCAGACTCAAAAATATACTGTTACTAAAGAGCAGTGGTTCTCAACTTTTTTATTATTATTTTAACTTTTTGGAAAAGAATTGAACTATACGGATCCCCTTCACAAACACGTAAATTTGTAAGCTTCTAAAGTTAGAGCGATAATTTTGAAGGCAAAATGCACTTACCTCTGGAGTCTCGCCAAGGACACCCGGAGGAGAAAAGTTGCACGACCCTTGCAAAAAATTTTTACCTAAGGTAAAATTGGGACGGTGAAACTGAGGTAAAAAAAAAAAACAAACCGGTTTTTCCCCCCCTCTCAACCTGTCAGACAACCCTTCAGGAGATGATTAGGGGAAAAAGCAGTGAAATTCAGACGAACAAGGTTGTAACGTTTTCTATGGGTAGAAGCATGGATGGAACTCAAGTTGGGGGAAATTGTCATAATACTAACAGGAAGTGTTTCAAGTTTTTAATCTCGCGAGCCGTCATGCTCTGTAAGCTTTTTCTCAGACTCCCCTCCATCGTGTGAGAAGATAAACAAAATGAGTCTTTGTAGGAAACCGTGGTTCATTGTGACTTTAATGAGGTCATATCAAATGCTGGCAATTATTTTCATGCGGCAGTGGATCACGATCGTTGGTTAGTTTTCTAGACACTTTTCGCAAAATGGAAGATAGGTGACTTAACTTGACGCGTGAATGAGTGAGTTTCAGTTTAATTTCGAACAGATTTCGTCTGAGAGTCGTGGTAGAGAGAGAGAGAGAGAGAGAGGCGCAAAATGAACCTATTTATTTAGCACTCAATCATATGGAGTGATTCATTCCTCTTTCTTTAAATCATAGTTCGATATTGTTGTCGTTAGAAGAGGAATCGAAAACTGAGAACACGAGACGTGCCTGTGAAATTCCGGTCACGTGGAAATACCCCGTTGTAGTGAAATTTCGCCCGTTGCTGAGGTTGTCTCTCTTTTATTGCATTTTCATGATATCTTTGATGCAGATTGTGCGGGAGCACATCATTGACATACACGGTGGCTACGGGCAGCACGCTCTCCATCGTCTTCAAGACGGATTGGTGGTGGACAGCCAAGGGCTTTCAGTGCACTGTCACCTGCGCCGCGTAACTAAAATGCATTCATTGGCGAACATTCTCAACGCCTAATAATTAAAAAACAACTTTGCCTGCATGGATGTCTTCACTTTTCCCCCAACGTTTTTGATCGCAAAAGATTGAGCGGTGTCAGAGAATAGCCATGTTCAGTTGAAGTAAGCCGGAGCATGTTAGACCGGTGAAATTCGAACATAGCGATCTCACGAAAGCCAAGATGAGAAATTCGGTAAGTAAACCTGCATTCCATACCCCTTGTAGTTGGAATCGAGCGGAAGAGGGAAAGTGCTCTTGGAGATGCAGTCCATTTTGTGCCTTTGGAGGGTGGTACCAAGCCATTCCACTCTATGTTGTACCGAAAGGTTTCACACTTGAAGCATGCACTATCTTTCCAAAAGTGTAGGCCCACCTATGAACATGGTCATCGCTTGTCGAAGGGAGCCTGAACCTACCCCAGTAGGGGGAAAAGATTTTGAAGCCACGTTGTTTATCCCTTGAGATTTGTGGAAAACCCCAAGATGACGATGACATATAGGGAATGGCGTTCACACTGACACCGAACTGGGATCAAGAAAGCATTTCGTATTTATCCCGGCGCTACACAGACACGGACATCAGGAGATGAGAGCGTCATACCGACACTGAGCGCATTCAGTTGTGACCCGAGTCATGACTCGAGGGTCTCAATTCAACGTTTGCATTGAGGCTTCAAAATAAATTTTACTCCATAGTGACACCACTTTTCCATTTTATCAAAACTAGGTATAATAGTTTTTTTTTTTAAAGCGCTGCAAATGCAGAGAATCATGAACCTTGAGTCATGACCCGGGTCACAACTGAATACGGCCGCTAGAGGCTTAGTCAAGATTCGGAGTTCAGGTGTGTTACACGGAAAATCAAGACTGTATTTGATGGGATTGGGGTAAGAGTGAAGGAAAGTAAAGAGAATCAGACCGCCAATGAACTCCAACTGGAGGACCTGCTAAACAATTTATGGAAAAGAATGGTGGCACCCAGAGACTACTTGTGAGAAACTCTCATATGTAATTATGCTGCTATTGGACCAGACAGATTAAAGACGGATAAGGAAAAAAGAGAGATGTAGAGTGATGCTTTAGAGTATCCTGTGGATCCCAGCCCCCAGTTCCAGTTCCCAGTTCCCCAGTCCCCCAGACAAATCCTGTGGACAGAATTACAATTCCCCTGGGGGCACTAGTGATACATTTCGCCTTAAAAAAAAACCACTCATATACAGAGGTTCATGAAATGCACAGAAGAGAATGGAATAGTTACCGCCTGGGGCAGTTCGATCAGAAATGTTACCCTAGTTTGATTTCCTGAAGTGTTCATATTTCAGCAAACAATTTAGCAATAGAGTATAAATCCTGAAGTTGGTATCGTTAAACAGCGCATAGAAAGAGCATTTGAATGAGCTGGTAACATTTTTGGATAGGAGTAGGGGTAAGTGTGAATATTGGTAGAAGTGGCAGCCTCCAGGGTAGCCATTTCAGTACCGATGTTCCAGTCAAATGATCATATCACACAAAGCTATTATCGAATATCAATTTGGATTTAGTATTGTTAAAAAAGAGGGAAAAGTACTTTTAAACGCACTACAATAACTTGGGATTGTTGAAGACACAAGTGAGGGTATTGACCACTGAAGTTGATGAAATTGATCTTGTATTGTTTTTTAGTTTTTCCTCGAAATTCATGTTACCATCACCGGAAAGTGGGCAATCTCACGGTTGATGTGATACCACAATAAAATTTCTGTTTGAATTAGAAGAGAAGTTATTGCTGAAGCAGTTCAGGTTATATATAATTATAATAATATATAATAATGGTATATAATAATAGTATATAATAATAATATATAATAATAATATATAATAATAATATATAATAATAATAATAATATATAATAATCATAATAATATATAATAATCATAATAATATATAATACAGGGTGTTTCAAAAGTCCGTACTCATGGGTATTTTGAATTAATAAAATTTCTCAATGAATGAGTGCACCAAAATTAGTACAGAAGTACTAAGAAATATTCAGAGGGGGTTATGTGCCAGGATTGATTTGTGTATGCAAGTCCATGGCATGCATCCTGAGTCCGGACTTTTGAAACACACTGTATATAATAATAATAATAATAACAATACATAATATTATAATAATAATAATAACAATACATAATATAATAATAATAATAATAATCCCCTCTCATACCTCTGGCATTCGCCGTGAAAGTACGATAATAATAAACCCCCCATGTCTCTGAGGATTTTCGATGAAACCGGATGTGTTCGAGCTCTGGCCGATTTGGCATGAAATGCGTCATAACAAAGATAGTTCCCCACGACATGCGGTGTTCCGACGTGGAACTCTGTTTTCCATGGCAAAAGCAGAAGATCTGGTGTGATCCACATCCCGTGGGCGTGACGTAATTTCCTCTAACAAGTGCCTAGATAGGATTTGGCCTTGGAAGGCGGATGCGGGGGAACCTTCTGGTTAGTCTGTCCCAGAGCAAAGGATGTGTCTGCTCTTCATCTTCCAATAAAAGTGAAGGTCACGAGTGGTAGCCTGACCCAATCGTTCCAGCGAGTGCGCTCTTGTCCGCACGCCATAGGGCCATCGACCATTTCCGTGATGTCAGAATTGAAGGACCTTCAGGTGAGTACCCGAGCGTGTATCGACGGTCTCGTCCGGGTCAATTTTTTTTTTTCCCAATTTCAAGTCTAACGATCCAGGCGTTATCATTTTACGGCTGACGCTTTCTGGTTTCCGCGAGGACTGCAAAATATTCATTAATTCCTCTTTCTAGTTCATCTTCGATAAATTAATATTGTTTTGGGTTCCTTCTGATCTTTTTTCAATGCTGCAGGATAAAACTGAAAACCCATTTTGGACATTATATATTCTAGGCGATAGACTTTTAGGTAATTATTCATGATTTTTGAGGCAAGAGTTAGCTGACGGCTTCTTTCAAGCAAATTATGTGATCGAGTCTTCTCGACTCCAAATTTGTTTTTGTCGATGACATGGAAGGTAGGTGTCGCATTGTCTTTGGCAGTACTTGAGTGGTTTCGGGTCGGAGTTTGCGAGCGAGGACCCTCGGTGCCCGGGAGCCCTTCCCCAGAATCAGAACACTCCTCAGAAGTGTCCCTACGGACTTTACGCCGAACAACTCTCTGGTTTGTGTTTCTCCCTCTCGTCGTAGTACATCAACCCTGCCTTAATATTTCCGGTAGTCTCTTAATTCTCCTAAACTCTCAAACGTGCGTGGGACAAGTTATTCCTGCTCCCCCCCGCAATAAAGGATTTTTGCGGTTCGACCGTTGACATAACGGTCGAATTCAACGGATCCTGAGCTCCCTCGTCTTACATATCCTGTCATACGACCATCATCTGATTCGGAATGACCCAAAAATTTTAATCATTGCCTTTTCCCCCTGTGATTCCTCATATACTCGTGGTAGAAAAAAGACATTGCGAAATATGATAGATTTTAAAAGGAACTTCTAAGCGGACAAGAAGCCGCACTGCGAGTCTTCAACCTCCATTTCTCATGACGTTGACGCTAAAATCTAAGGTCTCTCGTGATGTCCCTATTTATGTACAGGGTGTCCGGGAAATAATGGCGAAAAGATAGTCCCTTATGACTTTATCGTTACTCACAATAGAGAAAAGCTGTAGGTTCAAGTACAGCTTATGCTCTGCTATATGTCACAGAGTATGTCTACTTAAGCAGATGTATTGTGACAGGGACGGCATTCACGGCGGAGAGAGAGGAGAACCGGCGAACCTGGTTTTATCGCATCCGCCCCTCCGTATGCCATCGAACCTTTACACCTATTCTCTCTGGAAGCTTCATCCCCGAATGGGACAAGATCAAGTCCACCCCGAATCAGGTCTCTTGCCATACTTGTAATTTACCGAATGTGGAGGGGATGAATATTGGCTTCGGTCGTGATGGTCTGGTCGATGTGTTCGAATTTGTTCCGAGTGGATGTTTTATGTATTTTCCCCCGTTTTGGATCGGATGACAGTTGCGCTGGCGCCCGTTCGACATCCCGTCGGTTGCGACGGATTTCGTGGACGGGCTGAACACGGTGTGTGGGGCTGGTGATCCTCGGACCCGGCATGGATGCGCCGTTCATGTCTACGCCTGCAACGCTTCCATGACGGACAAGGCCTTCTACAACTCCGACGGCGACCTCCTCATCGGTATCGGCTTCCAGTCGCTCATTCTCCTTGTCATCCGTTCGTGGCGGGTGTCAACAAAGGGTCGACGTGGCCCCGCGCTCTTGAAACTGTCTTTTGTGCAAGCTCGGAGATCGTTTCAAGGCCAAATTTAATTAAAATCTACCCGACTCAAAATTCTGCAGCTCATGTAGCAGTCGAGGGGTTCGAAAACGAACCCCCTCGACCCCAACCCAAACGAATCAAAATTCATAGTATGAAAATATACACGAAAGTATGTCGAGCGAGCATTGAAAGCCAAAAGCACAGTAACCAAACAAGAAGACAATGGTTACAAGGAAGTGATAACGAAAAGAGCCTTTGAGTGCCGAAAGCACTGCAGGATCCTCATCAGAGGCACGGTCTTGCTAAAATCTCCAGTGCATATAGATCTTTTCGGAATTCGCGTGGAGATTTAGAAATGGAAAGAGTATGGCTGAAAGGCCGTCAGGTGACTGTACCCACAGCTTTATCTCACAACCACCAAGAGTGCACACTCCATTAGCTGGAGAGAGCGCACGTACATGTTGCTGGAAGACAGTATAACGTGTATTGTGGTGGTGTATGTGACGTTACTCAGGGGTACAGCTAATCTCGATTGCGATTCATCAGGCACATTTATACACGTGCTCTAGATTAACAAAAAAAAGTTATGGTGAAAGACAAACCTGAGGTGCCCCTCAAAATTGCAGCATTCTCCGAACAAACGCCAAATAAATCCAGTCGAGTTTTAATCTCGATCAAGGCATTGTTATCGACTCTTCATTGACACCATCGCTCGGAACTTTTCGGGCTTTTGTGCTATTATTCTGACAGTTTTTCTAAATCTCTTTCTGGGCAGTTTGTAGGAAGAAAAGTACTATTTAGGGTGTTAGAAGCGGCAGATATGTGGCTTTCCTTCTAATATCCAATTGCTAGTGTTGTATTCTCGCTGGGCCGGAGGATAGGATCACTCTTAATCGCTATGATCCTCTTTTTTTTTTAATGCAGTCCCTCAGCTGGGAGTCCTGAGAGTGACGACGGAATACGGGAAATTGATCGTGAAGCCGAATGAGATCTGCGTCATCCAGGTTCCGATCCTCATATGCAGCATATTTGATCCTTTTTATATTCCACTTCCCAAGAGTTGTTTCGTGCGATTCACAGCAAGGCATGAAATTCAGCGTGGAGGTGATAGGGGAGAGCCGTGGTTACATCCTGGAGGTGTTCGACGGTCACTTCACCCTCCCCAATCTCGGCCCCATCGGTAACTTAAGCAAGAATCAGCAATTCAATTTACTCAAATAAAATTTACTCAAAAATAAAAATAAAAATAAATAAAAATATAAAGGTGAGCGATTTGCTGAGGGAGTAAAAATCGCTAACTCTAGTTTGACTCAATCAGAGCATAATCACTCATTTTTTTTTTAGGATGTAGACCTATTTGAATATAGAGAAATTTACATGTAGTTCATCGTGAATCAAAGGATGTAAACAAAATTCGAAACAGATACGAACATAAAGGTGAGAACAAAGTGAGACGAACGAAAAAATCAGACTTAAAATCCACATGAGAATAGTGATTGAATTTGATACGATCACGACCGATTTCGTGAAGGTCCAATTCGATTTAGAAACCCAAGTTGACACGAACGTCATCATCCGGCTGGTAGTTGCCATCCAATATGCGGATGGACGTCAAAATTTGCAATAGAGTAGAATTAAGCATTAACATTCTAATTTAAAGTTGAGACGAGTGAAATGAAATGATGGATTCAGAGATAAAAGACTGGACGGACTGACGATCCTGTTGGCAGGAGCAAACGGTCTGGCGCTGTCGAGACATTTTTTCACCCCGAAGGCCTGGTTCGAGGACCGACAGGTCCCGGCGGGTTACAAGGTCGTCAGCAAGTTCCAAGGTCAGATGTTCCAGGCCATCCAGGAACATTCCCCCTTCGACGTCCCCGCCTGGCATGGCAACTACGTCCCTTACAAGTATGACCTCTCCAAATTCATGGTGATCAACTCTGTCTCCTTCGACCACTGCGTGAGTTCCATGCCCTTCAGATTCTTCTCTGCAGGACATTCTTCTTTACTCTTAAAAGAAAAACTAAATTGTGCGCCTCGAGGAGTTCACCCTTTCGCGCTACAATGCTACATTCGATCGTTTTAGCGCCTGCTTGATTAAGTGTTAAGTCGATGGAAGGTATTGAGCATTTATTGAAACAGGTTGCGAGCACATCTGCTTGATCGTCTCAAAGTTGAGGATCATGAACTATTTTTTCTACGTTTTATGAGATGTGAATTCCCTCAGGAGAACGGCGTCTCTTTACCTGGAACAAGATTCGAGAAACTCGGAAGAAATACTCTTGATGTATTCGTTTGCTTCACTCGCCTTGTGTATGCTCGTTCAGCCCTACGTACAGTACAAGGTGGTCCATAGTATACCTTTTTCTTCTAGAGGCTGTATCTTTGCTCCCAGTGAGGCAAACTGTGCAAATCATAGATTTTTGAAAGCTCTAAATAAGGTCTTATGATTGAACTTATTTTTGCTGCAAACCCTCTCATCTGGACGGAATTACATAAATTTTCCTGAAGTTCGAACTCTTTTTTAAAAGGTCTTCAAAAGGGGTTTTTCAAATGCATGAAGTTAAAGCTCAGTGAATTCTCCATCCAGCTCACACACCTCCCATCGAACTCTCAAGCCACCAAAAGTTGATTGGAATCAGTTTATATTTTAAATCAGAATCAAACACATTGAAAGCTGTTTGATTCGCTGTTTGATGTTGCGTTTGTGACCATAGTGGAAATCAGCGTTGTGCCAAATCTGTCAAGATTTGAAGAATTCGATCGAAGGCGTTTTTTGTAGAGGTTCAGGTCTGGCGACTAAACCGGATAAACATTCCGACAAACTTTAATTTCTCGCAGGATCCGAACAAGCCAAAATGCTCCATACAACAGTGCTTTTTGAGAAAGTCGAGCCATTGCATGGGTCAACTTTACTCAGAGTATCAGTACTATATTGATTACTTCAGCATTTCGGGGAACCTGCTGGGCAACGAAAAAAAAAGTTGTGAAGACTTTTTTTTTAGTTCGGACTTAATACAAATGCACGTAAATTTTTCCTGATGATACTTTTTTAACTATATTTTTTATTTTTAGCGAAAATTGGCTCAATCTTATGAAAGAACTCGTCCAGGACTTTCCAAATATGTATAACTAGCGAGTTTGCAAACGAGTAACTGCGCTACGAGGTGCAACGAAAATTTATTTAGTAACATGGAGTCCCTCTACAACTTTGTACTGACCCCCAAATTTTTCTCCTTTGGGGGCTCTGTAATAGTGAATCGGCCATATAAGTACTAAATATGTACTAAATGAGGTACCCTGGGGGTCCGAATTTTGAAGCGCCACCTAGCCTGTGACCATCCCAGGACCAAATGAGGAAACCATGCAAAGTTTGGTCGGACTGGGATCAGAAATGCCGTGCCTAAAGGACAGACAGACACACACAAACACTCTGAAATATAGTTTAGATGTGCACAGTTTGCTCCACTGGGCGCAAAGATGGGGAGTGGATTGCATGAAACTAATGCCAGCATTAGCCTAAAGCTGTATTAGCTAAAAGAGTTTTCAAGTGAGGCATTGCACAAAGAAATTTAATGTTACATTAGCTAACTGACATTAGCGCTTCCTAATGTGCATTAGCGACTCCAATGACGTATATAGGGACCCGCAAGAATGTCGTCCGCTTCGGCAACGCTCGAAATTTAATTTTTTTTCTAGTCAATGCCCTCTAAAGTACGAGGGTGAGTCAAAAAGTAACAGGACATCTGCGATCGTAACGTAGGATATATAGGTAGCAACGCACATAGTACTGCTTGTTAGAATATCAGAGCCATGAAAATGGTGGTCTTTGGCTTTGCTGCCGTCTTGTCCTACAGTTACGAAAAATGGCGACTATGGGTCTTGATTGCACCAAGGAAGAGTCGCGTTTTGTGATCCGTTTTTTGGTCGAAGATGGCGTGAATGGCAATTCAATTTTTCGCTGACTCAGGGCAGTTTACGAAAACTGTATCGAAAGAAGCAATGTTTACGTACGTACAATGTATATCGTTCAGTTACCTGATAAAGTTTGTCGATTCCTCTACTGATCAGTTTCCTAATGAACAGTTATTTAGCCACTACACGGTTCGGTTACCTGTTGGCTGTTCGGCTAACTGTAAGTCAACAAGTTTTCTTCCAGCAGTGCTATAATTTTGCAATTTTTTCATCGATTGCTGACTGACAGCATCCCATAGCACAGATCATCAACTTTTGAAAAGCGTTTATTGCCCTTGAAAACTACAGACTACATGGCGCTTCTTCCAAGTCGAACGCAAATATAAATTGCAGAATGTTGATCGCTTACCACCGCAATTAAATGTGCATGTTCGCTAATGACGGAGTTCTACGAAGTTCCTGAAGACATGCCGATCAAATATGGCACAAGAACCATGGGTAGGCTACAGAAAAACACGCCAAATTACACACTGATACCTTTTTTGATACGGTATAATTTTACTGTTTCACCGTAATAAGGATTCCATGATAACCTTTGGTTGTAAGCCCAATCTGTTTCTTATATTTTGATTTTAAATAGAACGTTGTCTTATCTTGATTTTTTTTTTAGAGAACGGCAAAACGCTTCACTTCTCATGGGTAGACGAAACTGAAGAAATGAAAACAGAAATATCAGCTAAACGAAAAAGGAAAACGCATGTTGTGTGGGAAGCAACACAACATACGAAACGAAATTAATATAGTTTCCCAATTCCGCTTAAAATGAGCCAGATTTCTTCGAATATCGATATCATTTCTGTCTTCTTGCTTCCATCTATCTGCAGAAGAGAGCAGGAAAAGGATGGACATCTTCCAATTTATACCTTCTGTCGCTACCTATCTTTGTTTTCTTCATCTTGAGGAGTGTTGGATTCCTGTTCTTCCATTACTATTGCATATAACTTGAACTGTCAACTTTCTTGAGGCCGATTCAAATTTCTTTACTACTTGCCTTCTGCATCGTTGTCTTACCTACATCACGTCTGCTTTCACTGCATTTCTCGGTTTCACTATTGAAACGCGAACAGAGCGAATTATAGACCCTTTTGGGACTCTTTGTAGGACCCAAGCATCTTCACAGTGCTGACGTGTCCGTCGACGAAGCCGGGAGTGGCCATCGCGGATTTCGTCATCTTTCCTCCCCGGTGGTCCGTCCAGGAACACACATTTCGACCTCCATACTATCACAGTCAGTCCATCTCTCTTCCCTTGTCGCTCGCTGTTTATCGCGCACTATCCACCCTTCGTAAAAGAAAACGTGAAATAGGAATAGGAAGAGTAATCGAGTTTTTTTTCGGCGACTTCAATGAGGAGAAAGAAACCGCGATCGTCCTTTCGCTTTCACATCCTCGTTGACTTCGATGAAGAGATTTCCAAAATACGCCACGAGGTTTCAAAATCGTTCGGTTTCTTCCGATCATCATCGAGCGGTACTTTTCAGCTCTAAACACGTTTAAGATGAAACTCATCGAACTGCAGAAGCGTTGGAAATAAGGGACGGTTGGGAATAATCACGTGATCTTGTCAAACTATGACCTCCACTAAAGTTTTATTTGCGCGATTAATTTGTATATATTTGTAGCATCATTTATTGAAGTGCGAGTAATATGCTATTTTTGTAGAAGACAGAATCTTTTTTCGACACCTCCTTTTAGTCTTAAAGGCTCTGAGCTTAGGCAAGCTCTGAATTGATCATGTATAAAGTATAAATCGCATTGGAGCCCAGTTTCATGGACTTTAATTTCAGCCTTTCGGATTTGCTTATTAAAATGAGCAAATCCGAAAGATTAAACATCGAAAAAAGGTTTTAAAAGGTTACGATGGATTGAAATCTATTTGATTGACTAGATGCAAAAGGTGAAGACCACATTGCGTTGGCACAAACTTTCACCATACAAGTTTTCTGTCATCGATTATGGATAACAAGAGGTTTTTAGCTTCCAAATTTCTAAAGCATTAGAAGTGCTGGTTAGAAAGCACTCAGCAGAAAATGATCCACCACAAATCTACCCTTCGTCTACTGGACGACAAAATCACAGACTCTCAACTTCAAAGGAACTGCGAGGTGGCAAATAGAAGTCTTATTGTCAAAGATGCTACTTTTGGCTATTTCCGAGTCATCTCAATGCTGTTTCAATGTACCAGAGCAAGTGCAATGAGTAAAAACATTAGAAAGCGATATATGATAGGAGAGAGTTGGAAGGTTTTTTATGAGCATAATTAACGAAATGAACTTAAGTATCATTAATTATTATCATTAAATCTAAATTTTTTTCCAAGATCCCGAACAATTTGAGAAAAGAACTAGGCGGAAAGTACACATTTTAAGAAAGGTAAATATATACTTGAACATGAGTTAATGCAAATGATGCATTTTCACATCAGGTAATAAAGACCCGAGGGATACCATTGTTCTTTTTGGAAAAACGAGTCATCGTTTCTTCAAGTATGGAGAATGGTTATTTTTCCTAACGACACATGGACACCGATTATTTTTAAAACTAAACGAAACGTGATGATACATCCCTTGGGGCATTTTACCTTTTGCACCACCCTCCCTGTAGGTTGGTTTATTTTTGCCGAATTGACCTAAACACTCCTTTTTCTACCTTACAATTGTAGAGCACTGATGTATCACAAAAGAGCTAATTTTTTTCGAGTAGGGTCAAACAACCCCCGTATGGGCACACGTCCTTTAATGAACATGAATAGAAAGCTGCAGAAAAAAGGAAAATTGTATGGAATAGAGTCCTGAAATGAGTTCCAGAGGTTATTTAATCACGATGACACGATGATGATTTAATGACACGATGTTATTTAATCTTGGACTACAGGGAACTGCATGAGTGAGTTCATGGGATTGATCCAAGGATCGTACGAGGCAAAGGAAGAAGGATTCCTGCCCGGAGGAGCGAGTCTTCACTCGATCATGACCGGCGTACCTGGCCTACGGTTTACGAAGTTGTGGCGGAGGTTGCGGTTTGAGTAAGGGCTTGCGTAGCGGCTCCCATGAGTCCATAACCTTTTTAGCGCAGGCCGTTCGGGTTTGGCTCTCGCAGGAATCTTGACGATTCGAGACGTTGCGTACACCGAATGCGATAGTAACGATGGAGGGTTTACTCCAGACTTACGAAACAGGTTTGCTTGGGTACATGATGGGGGACTGGACGGTGGTGAGCTTGTTGTCATGTGGTGCAAGGTGCTGCCACAACAGCCTAGGTCCCGTCCGCTCCTACATGCACTGTACATCCCTGCTTTCGGAACAGAACCTTCCATGTAATTTATTTTATTTTTTGGGGACAAAGAAAAAGGAGATATCAACACTAGAACTACCGGAACGGTCAATTTGACCGCTGTATTAAGAGTAGTTTAAAACTATTATTCTGTAACATTTTATTTATTTTAATTTTAATTTTATTTAGTATATTCAAAGTGTCGACGTTAGAGAGGAAAAGTAAAAACTGCGAAGGCACTTGTCAAACGAGCAGAGTAAAGTGTAAAGATCGACGATAAAGTGTAAGAGTAAAAATGAACGAGCAGTCAAAATAACTGCTCCGGTAGTTCTTAAGTTAAGGACTGCCCACTTACCCATCATAGGCTAACACATTTGCAAGATTCTGGAGACAGAAGATAAGCTCCTCAGCCCATTGTTGACTTTCCCTCTCCAGCAGAGACCTTGTTCTGTAGTCTGTTGGGAACCTTGGAGTGGTTTTTGGAACTGCTCACAAGAATGAGCGAATAGGGCTCTTGAAATTAATTTTTTGGAAAGAAGCCATGAAATGAATGCTATAAGACGCATGAAAATCGTGATATTCCAATCCTGGTCAAATAACAAAAGATGCTCACAGAGGAAATCACATCCTAGGAGAACTTCCACTTTTTTTCTTTTTTCATACTGACAGCTTCCTTTCCCTTGCTTTTTCACGAGTCTGGCTTTTCAAAAATTTTCAGATATTTTATATGGACCATGTCTACGGCAACTGCGGCATCGGAAGTACAGACCTACAGAAGGCTGTCCCAGCTTTATTTGACGCATTTTCAAAATACGTTTACTCGAATGGGAAAAGGCTTTTGTGTGAAACGGGATTGTTGGGCAAGAAGTCAATTTTTGTTTTGGAATATCAGGGGCCATTGCGTTGGCGTTTAATGAAACCTGTTCACTGTGTCGTGGAGATATGCGTGAAACGTCTTTTCACGTAAGGTTACTCACACAAAATGATAATTCGTACGTGTGTCTTCAAAGGATGGCGCGATTCCAAAGGAACAGTCTCGGATATCATTTACCATGGAAAGGGTGAGAAACGAGGAAATGTTAGACATTAACCTAACGCAAGACCGCTACGTAACATGAAGCTTCTGACTTCTGTTAGTCATTTCGGCCTGAACCTTTTAGATGGGTCGTTTTCTACTGAACGTACAGCTGAGGGCCACAGGTCCCGGCGGGTCTCCCCCTCCAGTAGCCCCTGTTAGACGGGGCCCGGAGCGCATAGTTTCCCGGAGGTTTCAGCCTCCGGTTTATAGGTTTTCTGGGTCAAATGTGGTAATAAGAAAGTCAAATGCGACAAGGAAATTCAAATGCATCTCTGTGCTGTTTGGGAGCATCAAAAGTGACAATAATGAAAGTCAAATGCTTCTCTGTGGTAGAAGTCAAATTTTAGGGAAAAGCTTGTTCGACATAGGAAAGTCAAATGGGACAGATACACAAGGTATACCATGCCCTTTTTGAGGGGAATTGCCTTCTCGTTATATTTTCACAACGTGCTGCTTCTAGCGCATTTACATATGTTGCCCCTTTTGCAATTCTCCTTTATTTGGCAATTGCCGATATGTCAGGGTTAGTCATGGGAATATGCAAGCACCATTTTTGGGGCGGGAGGCCAGATTCCACATATGAAAAAACAGAGGAAAATATAGAGTTCTCCTTAACCCTCAACTGGTATTGGTTTAATTTTCATTGTGTAACTGGTAACTCCATCGATCTTTATCTCCGGAATATTGAAATATTCCGAATGGCTTGAAAATACCCATTCGTGACTCTAGAAGGCGTGGAAACGACAGAAGCAGTTGCCATGTAAATGCGGGGACGTGTACCACACGACTTCAGCGCTGGAGAGGCTTAAATTTCGACTCGTCAGTTCACCTGTTCCTAAGGACTTGAAATCTACTAGTAGCCTCCATCGCCATCCACACCAAAAAGATTGGGTCAAGATCTTGCTAGGTCATCAACTCGTGTTTTTCGAAAGGATNAAATGAATGCTATAAGACGCATGAAAATCGTGATATTCCAATCCTGGTCAAATAACAAAAGATGCTCACAGAGGAAATCACATCCTAGGAGAACTTCCACTTTTTTTCTTTTTTCATACTGACAGCTTCCTTTCCCTTGCTTTTTCACGAGTCTGGCTTTTCAAAAATTTTCAGATATTTTATATGGACCATGTCTACGGCAACTGCGGCATCGGAAGTACAGACCTACAGAAGGCTGTCCCAGCTTTATTTGACGCATTTTCAAAATACGTTTACTCGAATGGGAAAAGGCTTTTGTGTGAAACGGGATTGTTGGGCAAGAAGTCAATTTTTGTTTTGGAATATCAGGGGCCATTGCGTTGGCGTTTAATGAAACCTGTTCACTGTGTCGTGGAGATATGCGTGAAACGTCTTTTCACGTAAGGTTACTCACACAAAATGATAATTCGTACGTGTGTCTTCAAAGGATGGCGCGATTCCAAAGGAACAGTCTCGGATATCATTTACCATGGAAAGGGTGAGAAACGAGGAAATGTTAGACATTAACCTAACGCAAGACCGCTACGTAACATGAAGCTTCTGACTTCTATTAGTCATTTCGCGGACTTGGAAAATCTACCCAGCAAAAGATGACTTGCATGTCGACTCCCGGTGTCCAGGGCCGCCCAGAGGGGGAGGTCATCGGGGACAATCTGCCCCGGGCCTCGCGTATCAAAGGGCCTCCAAAGGGCCTCCGGTTTATAGGTTTTCTGGGTCAAATGTGGTAATAAGAAAGTCAAATGCGACAAGGAAATTCAAATGCGTCTCTGTGCTGTTTGGGAGCGTCAAAAGTGACAATAATGAAAGTCAAATGCTTCTCTGTGGTAGAAGTCAAATTTGAGGGAAAAGCTTGTTCGACATAGGAAAGTCAAATGCGACAGATACACAAAGTATACCATACCCTTTTTGGGGGGAATTGCCTTCTCGTTATATTTTCACAACGTGCTGCTTCTAGCGCATTTACATATGTTGCCCCTTTTGCAATTCTCCTTTATTTGGCAATTGCCGATATGTCAGGGTTAGTCATGAGAATATGGAAGCACCATTTTTGGGGCGGGAGGCCAGATTCCACATATGAAAAAACAGAGGAAAATATGGAGTTCTCCTTAACCATCAACTGGTATTGGTTTAATTTTCATTGTGTAACTGGTAACTCCATCGATCTTTATCTCCGGAATATTGAAATATTCCGAATGGCTTGAAAATACCCATTCGTGACTCTGGAAGGCGTGGAAACGACAGAAGCAGTTGCCATGTAAATGCGGGGACGTGTACCACACGACTTCAGCGCTGGAGAGGCTTGTTAAAGCTGAGCAGTCAAGTGGACAAGGATTCCTGAACTTTAGATGATCATCGGAGGTAGCGGTAGGTGTGGTTTTTCTAACCCAGTTCTAGAACGATCCAGTAGTTGAGCACAAAAAGCTTTCCTAGGTACTCGACGCTAGTCACAAGTACACTTGTACCAGAAGGATCGAGGGGGTTCCGAGCGATGGTGTGTACTCTTTGATAGCTAAGCCTGTCGGTCATAATCTGCAGGGCGTACTGTTGTTGAGTTAAAGCTTTCGGTTTACCGGTTTAAGACCCTAAAGCGGTATTTTTCCTTTCTCTCTTAAAATCTAGTGCTGGGAGACGCCTGAAACACCCAATATTACATTTCCATGTGAATCTTCCGTGAATTCATACAAATCTCAATCTGATATTGCAACTCAATTTTGACTGAGTTTTTTTTTCTTGGTTCAGGTTGGTTGGGTACGTATTCGATTTCAAGATAAGAAAATTAGGTGAATTCGGAACCGCCCCCTCCTATTCATTCTTCCTTTTTCATTTCCAGCGTTTTCTCTCAACACCGAAAAAAAATGCGTACGAATTCGTGTGTTTTTTTGTTTTTTTTCCTTCAGGCATTCATGTTCGAGACGTCTCTGAGCTTGGCCTTGACGGAATGGGGTTACCAAACCTGCAAGAAGGTTGACCCGGACTACCACAAGTGCTGGATTCCACTGAAGAAAAACTTCCAACACGATTCCCCCGCCGCCTAAAACCCTCTCTCGCTTTTACTACCTTGGGGTTTCTCCTTTCGATTAACTCTTTATTATCCACGAAATCTAAATTTTTTTCTTAGCTTGCAGGTGAGGAATCGACTATAAAGATGTCGAAAATGCGAGCGTTTTCGACATCCTTTTTTATTCGATTCCATCGAACGTAAATGTCGAAACGCGAGGCAGTCCTGCGTGCAGTGATAACGTTAGGGTTGCTTCTTTGTGCCATTTTGCATATGTCAAAAACGGCAAGAGTTGAATAAAGCCACGCGAGAATGATCACCAAAAATGATCGTATATGGATCCATGATTTCAATGACGAGCGGGAGCAGGGGAGGAGAGTTACCAGGGGCCAAGGGCCTCCTTTCCCCTCAGCTTACGTCATTTGCATGACGTCGATGAACAGGCTTGTATAGCATGAGCGCCATGGTTCGATTCTAACTGTCATGCCGATTCATCTGTCTTCTCCCATCCCTTTCCCATTGCCGATTACCAGGACGGAGTCCATCGCCTAAGTCTGAGTCAGCTAGGTTCGAGAAGCCGTAGTATCGTAGGGAAGAGGAGTGAAGGTTGGACCCCTTACGTTCTGTGGATACCGTCCACGTTTGAGTACAACTGATGACGCACCAGTGTCATGAATCAAATTTGGATGCCAAAAAGTCACTTA